CCAGTAATCCTCATATTTCTCAAATTGAAAAAAGGAATCTAAAAACTACAGTAATCCTCATATTTCTCAAATCGAAAAAATGAATCTAAAAACTACAGTAATCCTCATATTTCTCAAATCGAAAAAAGGAATCTGAAAACTACAGTAATCCTCATATTTCTCAAATTGAAAAAAGGAATCTAAAAACTACAGTAATCCTCATATTTCTCAAATCGAAAAAATGAATCTAAAAACTACAGTAATCCTCATATTTCTCAAATTGAAAAAAGGAATCTAAAAACTACAGTAATCCTCATATTTCTCAAATCGAAAAAATGAATCTAAAAACTACAGTAATCCTCATATTTCTCAAATTGAAAAAAGGAATCTAAAAACTACAGTAATCCTCATATTTCTCAAATTGAAAAAAGGAATCTAAAAACTACAGTAATCCTCATATTTCTCAAATTGAAAAAAGGAATCTAAAAACTACAGTAATCCTCATATTTCTCAAATTGAAAAAAGGAATCTAAAAACTACAGTAATCCTCATATTTCTCAAATTGAAAAAAGGAATCTAAAAACTACAGTAATCCTCATATTTCTCAAATCGAAAAAATGAATCTAAAAACTACAGTAATCCTCATATTTCTCAAATCGAAAAAATGAATCTAAAAACTACAGTAATCCTCATATTTCTCAAATTGAAAAAAGGAATCTAAAAACTACAGTAATCCTCATATTTCTCAAATCGAAAAAATGAATCTAAAAACTACAGTAATCCTCATATTTCTCAAATCGAAAAAATGAATCTAAAAACTACAGTAATCCTCATATTTCTCAAATCGAAAAAATGAATCTAAAAACTACAGTAATCCTCATATTTCTCAAATTGAAAAAAGGAATCTAAAAACTACAGTAATCCTCATATTTCTCAAATTGAAAAAAGGAATCTAAAAACTACAGTAATCCTCATATTTCTCAAATTGAAAAAAGGAATCTAAAAACTACAGTAATCCTCATATTTCTCAAATTGAAAAAAGGAATCTAAAAACTACAGTAATCCTCATATTTCTCAAATCGAAAAAAGGAATCTAAAAACTACAGTAATCCTCATATTTCTCAAATCGAAAAAAGGAATCTAAAAACTACAGTAATCCTCATATTTCTCAAATTGAAAAAAGGAATCTAAAAACTACAGTAATCCTCATATTTCTCAAATCGAAAAAAGGAATCTAAAAACTACAGTAATCCTCATATTTCTCAAATCGAAAAAAGGAATCTAAAAACTACAGTAATCCTCATATTTCTCAAATCGAAAAAAGGAATCTAAAAACTACAGTAATCCTCATATTTCTCAAATTGAAAAAAGGAATCTAAAAACTACAGTAATCCTCATATTTCTCAAATTGAAAAAAGGAATCTAAAAACTACAGTAATCCTCATATTTCTCAAATTGAAAAAAGGAATCTAAAAACTACAGTAATCCTCATATTTCTCAAATCGAAAAAATGAATCTAAAAACTACAGTAATCCTCATATTTCTCAAATTGAAAAAAGGAATCTAAAAACTACAGTAATCCTCATATTTCTCAAATTGAAAAAAGGAATCTAAAAACTACAGTAATCCTCATATTTCTCAAATCGAAAAAATGAATCTAAAAACTACAGTAATCCTCATATTTCTCAAATTGAAAAAAGGAATCTAAAAACTACAGTAATCCTCATATTTCTCAAATTGAAAAAAGGAATCTAAAAACTACAGTAATCCTCATATTTCTCAAATTGAAAAAAGGAATCTAAAAACTACAGTAATCCTCATATTTCTCAAATCGAAAAAAGGAATCTAAAAACTACAGTAATCCTCATATTTCTCAAATCGAAAAAAGGAATCTAAAAACTACAGTAATCCTCATATTTCTCAAATTGAAAAAAGGAATCTAAAAACTACAGTAATCCTCATATTTCTCAAATCGAAAAAATGAATCTAAAAACTACAGTAATCCTCATATTTCTCAAATCGAAAAAATGAATCTAAAAACTACAGTAATCCTCATATTTCTCAAATTGAAAAAAGGAATCTAAAAACTACAGTAATCCTCATATTTCTCAAATCGAAAAAATGAATCTAAAAACTACAGTAATCCTCATATTTCTCAAATCGAAAAAAGGAATCTAAAAACTACAGTAATCCTCATATTTCTCAAATTGAAAAAAGGAATCTAAAAACTACAGTAATCCTCATATTTCTCAAATCGAAAAAAAGAAAGGGAGAATTCAAATATAGACCCCCACTTTTACAGGGTCAATTCCAATTCAAAATAAGTCCCCCAATAAAGTAATTGGTTTCTTTTGATTTTTAGTGGAGATGCAGAAGTTCCAAGAGCAAAGATTGCTCCAGCAGAAGTATTCGTCACGGATCATTCTTCGCGAGAACCAAATTGACTCTTGTACAGGCAATCAAAGTTATTGTTCTTTGAAATCTAAAATATTCTGCAAAGCAGATTTCGAAAGAAGCTGGGATATCAGAACAAACTGTCTGTGACTGGCGAAACTTTCTCAGAGAAGTTTGCAGTTCTATCGAGCTCTCGTACGGAAAGCTTGGAGGTAATAAGAATATTGTGGAGATTGATGAAACTAACCTACACTCCAAGAAGTACGGAATCGAGAAGCGGACACCAGATGACTGGGTCCTTGGAGGTAACCATGTTCCTTTCAATTTTAAATCACAATTGAATTTAGGTGTCGATCTTAGCACTGGAAGAGTCTTTGTAAAAAGAGTCGTTAATCGTACAGGAAAAGTTCTAGTTCCACTACTGCAAGCATCTGTAGATCAAAACTCGGTCGTCTACAGTGATGAATGGAAGAATTATTCACAATTGAAGGACTATTTCACGCAAAATTACACTGTATGTCAAAAAACACAGTTTGTGAAGTAAGTTTTTGATTGAACACTAATGGTGTGGAAGATATGTGGAGCCGGCTGAAAGCACCGTTCAAATCCGGGAAAGGAACAAGTAAAGCACTCTTGGATAGCTATATATTACTCTTGTCCGAAATCAATGCACGTTGCGGCCGAGAAAAGAATGGTGGGCGGAGCTTAGCTCCCGAAGGGAGAACACTAATGTATTTTTATAATTATTGCACGCGCCTTTAATACAGTACCTCAACATTTATCGAATTTTTGCCTTTTTCTCTTATTTTTTGATTGTTTCTGTCTAATTTTGTGTAATTCTTATAAATCTTTAATTTATTTCCCTTATAAAATAGAAAAAACAGCCAAATAGGGCCCAAAATGAAAAACGCCCGAGGTACGGTATTTAAAGGCGCATACATCAATTGTTGTTTTCGCTGCCTGAGCGGCGAATCGCCGCCGGCGATGCGATTTTAGACTCAAAATTTTTGAGTAAATTTTCGGCCGCAACGTGCATTGATTTCGGACAAGAGTAATATCCGAGTTCGTTGTCCGCGAAAACGAAAAGGGCGGCTTTTTCAGCAAGATTTAGGAAGAGATGAAATCTAAAGTCATCTGATCCACTTTTCGACATTTTTCTGTTCTCATTTTTGGATTTCTATTAAAGTTATTGTTTTTTGAGTCAATAAAGTTGTTTTCCGGTTTTTACTTTGCTTATAGAAATTTGTGTTACTTTTCAATCATATAATATATAATCAGAAATATCAAAAATTGAAACATTCCAAAATTCAGGCTTAGACCAAAAAATGGTGGCGAGCTGTTTTTGAATTGGAAATTGAAACATTCCAAAATTCAGGCTTAGGCCAAAAAATGATGGGGAGCTATTTTTGAATTGGTGGGTGTCCAAAATTGAATAGATGGGGGGCTATATTTGAATAAAGTGGGGGCTCAGTCCAGATAAGGTTCCCTTTTTTTCATCCGCTCAGATAAGGTTCCCTTTTTGGGGGGCTATTTCTGAATGGTTGGGGGTCTTTAATTGAAGAAGGCAGATAGGGGAGGGGGTCATATTTTAAGAATACCAGGTTCTTCAAGTATAGGCCCCCACTTTGTACTGGTGGGAGGTCATACTTTAATCAACCAATTCAACTACAGCCCCCCAAACCTCAGTAGACCCCTAAAAATTGAAACCTTTCAACAATCTGATTTTTTTTATCCAAGTCTCCATTTAACCTTTTCTAAATAATCCGAATGTCATGAATTTCAGGGGAATGGCACACCCACATAAACAAATTCGACGAGCATTAAATACCTTAACCAATTGGACTTCAGAAAACTAAGCAGAGAAAGTTCAAGCATCGGTGAATGTTTTGGAATCTCACATAGGACAAATAGACTTGCCAAAAGTCTGTCAAGAGATATTGGAAGCACCCATCCCAATAAACACTAACAAGCCGAATATTGATATGTACAAAATCATGGTAGATCTATGTCTTCGGAAAGCAGCAAGAGAAGATCCACAAAAATTGGCCTTGCGGGATTACACGCGAGGAAGGAATTTGCCATGTTCAGAGACGTTGTCCGCTGAGAAGAGACGACATGATTGTTACATGTAATTTATACTATCGTAGTTGACAGCTAACTTTTTTTCTTCAGAATCATCATCAATGCGCTTGACAAATTTGAAGAACAGTTCAAAACATCTCCTCTGGATGCTGCTGAAAAATTAAAGATGACTGTAAACGCAGTACTTCAAAATACGGATCGACTTGCTCATGCTGCTGTGCTCCACTGGCTCATGCGAAAAAAGAGAACGAATATGATAATGTAGAGCACTTCACCGTACATCGAGTTCTTCCTTGTTCAAGAAATCAACGCAGGCCGCGGGCAAAAATGTTTCGATTTACTTTGGAGGATGAACCAAAGAACTGGAAACTACCTCGAAGCTGCACGAATTTTTGACAAGCTAGCCGGAGACATTGTAGATAAAAAAAATATTCAGATGAAAGTAAAGTGAGTGATTTTTACTAGAGGCTCTTCTAAGAAAGTTGTTCCAGAGAAGCGTTGAGTGATTTGGGCAATGAAGAGCTCCTCGCCGAATTGGACTGCTCAATACTGTCTCTCCGAGAGTTACTGCTTCGATTTGTTATTCCCTTCAACATGCTCGAAATATTGCTCCAGATGTTCTACGAAAGCGGATTCTATATATCTGAAGAGCTAATTACAAACATATGGGCCGATATCATTCGAAATGAAACCAGAATTTCAAACAACAACTACCGTATGTTGGCAGAAACGATGCGAAAGTTATTTGAACAATTTGGAAACACTCATTTTTTCCCAAAGAAATGCATACTTCTTTGTTTCCTGACTATGGAGATGGGACGGACTCCTATGATTATATTCGAACATATCCTTCCTGCGATACAAGTTACGGAGCATGAGTTAATGGGTATCATCAACGAACGATTCCCGGATAAAAGCTTCGCCAAACTCGAACATTCTAAAAAATTGCATATCTGTGAGCTGATGAACAGTTTGTCAGATTCGACGATCAAGAAGTGTCAACAGCAGCAAAGCATCTACAGGTTCAGAAGAACATGCTCCGATTCTTTAAAATTTGGAACTTGGATTCTTTACATTATGGGATGCATCTTTATCGCAAGCATGAATGACGGAATAATAATAACATCGAGTGCATTGTCTAATGGAACTTCAAATGGAACCATAAATGCTACACTTCTTCAAGTATTTGAGCAGATCAACCACCATACAATTGGAATGTCCACGGTTATGATACAGTTAACAACAATTTTCATCCCGACGGTAATATACTAGTTGACAAAAATAGGTTGCTACAAATAAATTTTCCAGAATGCCATTTACTTCTTCCAAGCGGTCTTCGAACTATACAAATTTTATTACTTGATGCCTCTCAAAATACCATACGACAACCTGTATTTTGCTTCAATTAAAACATTTTGCTACTTGTCTAATAGTAAGTTTTTTTTTCTAAAATCAATAACAAATATCATCACCTAGTTGTATGCGACGTTGTATCTGTTTCTATTGTTCACTTCGAATTTGGAGCCCCACTCTACGCCGGCATGCTTTCTTGTTTCGCTGGACGTATGCTCAGTGTTTTCATTACCTACATATTCAAAATGGAAGCGTGGTTAACAGAGTTTGCGGTTTTGTCTTTGGTTATAGCTTCTCTCATCATTATAGCAGTGGTAAGTTTTTCTACATATCCGGAAAATTCTGATATAGGATTTTCAGTCTCAAGAATGTTGGCAATACTTCATCAAACGGCCTAACGGAATCCTCTATTGTCGGATTAAAAAAAGTGACACCTGAAAATCTCGGAGACGGCGCTCGTGTCGATTTACGAGGGGGCGGAGCGAAAACGGATACTGTAGATAACAAATTTATTTATGTGAATTTAGTGGGATATTCTGAACAAAATTTTGATTTCTTGGTATAAAAGTGATCGCTAGCATCTCTAGAATCTATTTTTCAGCAAAAAACTAAACTTAGACGCGAAAGTAGCTCGAACGAGCCGAAATTCTGAAATATTGCGTTTTTGCCGCACTTTTTCGTAGATCAAAAAAAGCAAAAGTTTTCAAATTCTCAGGTGCCACTTTTTTTAATTCGACAATAGATTGTATATTAAATGTGATATTTTTTCAAAAATGGTCTGACTGCTCCTTTCTTGTTTCTTAAATATGATCCATATATGAATTATTTTTATATTGTTTTTGTTATTATGGATTTCTCATCAAATTCATCAATAGAGCAAAAAAAGAAACAAAAAGGCAACAAATAAAAGAAGAATCATTCAGACTTTGGAACTCCTCGTCCACCGATTCCATTAGCAATATTCCTCTGCTTCTTCATATCTCTATAAGCATCAATAACTCGTTGACGTTCTGCTTGAATCTTTGTGGAATCATTCAGATACTCTGTCTTTTGTGAACCCTTCTGAAGCATCGAATGAAGTAGAAGAGTCTTCTGTCCGGCCTTTGCCATCAATGGTTCGAACTTCTTCTTGAGAGCACCATTGAAAGTGGGCGGGGCGTCGTTGCGTTCTCCGAATTCAATGACTTCTGGAATAAGATATGGTTATTGCTCAGCACTATTAATACACCTCTAGAATACCTCTAGAATTCATCACCGCTTCTCCACCCTTTCTTTTCTGTTCATCCGTTTTTCTAGCTTTCAATGTCTCCTTCCTTCTTTCCTTCTTCGATAGTTTCTGCGCCTTTTTCGATTCTTCCTTCTGAATCTTTTTTGGTTTGGGACCATCATCATCATCATCTGAATCACTTCCTTCTTCCTCGTCTCCTTCCTCTTCTTCTTCTTTTTCTTCTTTCTCCTCCTGCTCCTTCAACTTCCTCTTCTCCGCTTTCCTCTGCTCCTTCGCCTTATCAGCCTCCTCTCTTCTTCTCGCTTCTTCCTCCCTCTTCTTCTTCGCTTCCTTGATCTTATTCTCGATTTCTCTCTTCTCCTGATCTTTTTTCCTCTTCTCCGCATCCTCAATCTTCTTGTAATCAGCATCGATGTCCTCCTGCTTTCTTCCAGCCAAACCATGCTTTGCAATAGCGATTTGTTCGTTGATTCGAGAGTGGAGAGTTCCTTCGATTCGCTTTACAAATCGATTGACAGTCTCAAACTTTCCCTTCTTCATGCCTAACTCTTCGGCTTGTTCTGAAATGTTTCTCGGTATTATTTTTGCCACAACACATAGAACTACTCACTAAGAACCGCGTTCTTCTGCTTCTTCTTCTTCTTGACGTCTTCTTTTGTGACAATCGGATTGTTCGCGGCCATCATGTTCTTCATGGCTTTTGTTAACGGTTGCTCCTCTTTCAGATTTGCTGGTGCTTGATTACTTTTTCTGAAAAAAAAGGTTTTAGGGAAAACTTTATCGTAACACCTATATTAGATAGGCCCCTTTAATAGAAGGGCCCTCTTCGAAACGTGATGTTTGAAATCAGATATTTCTGTACGTTTTCAGTGAAAAATACTCTTAAAATTCCACAATTTTTTGCTCGTTTTGGTGAAATTGATAGATTTTCATGAATTTTTGAATAAAACTTGTCGAATTTTTCGAGGAAATTTTCGAGAAAAATGGCCTGCCCTTCTAATACAGGTTTTTCGCTGAAGACTAAGCTTAAGCTTACTTATTGTTATCCTGAAATCTAGCTGCATTGGCTTTGTTGTTGAACGGATCCACCGATTTCAGCTTCTTGCGGTTTTTCTTGGGAATGCGACGATGTAAAGCCATTCTGATAGAAAATATTGGAATATTTCCAATGAAAAGATAGACAAAACAGCTGTAAAGGTATGAATATCGAAGCTATCAAAGCAACGAAGAGTTAAAAACAAGAGGATTTTGAAGATGAACGATTTTGAAAATGCTTTATTCGATTGGAGAAACAGACATTGGTAGATACTTTCTACAGTTCTCGGATCGACAAAGACACAGCTTCCTATTATCTCCATCTATTCCCGAAACGCCGTAATCGTAACTCAGCTCTTCTCCAACTGAAATCTCCCTTTTTGCAAATATCGCAGCAATCGGAATCATTCTTCCAAGCCTCACAACGAAGATTTCACAGTTTGGATCGCAACTATGATTCAAAAATCGTCCGATATTTCCTCGTAGTCTAGGATCGATGAAAGTTTTGACTTCTTTTTCGCCAAAGTGCTCTTTTAGAGTCAATGTGTAGTTGTCCTCTTCTTTGAACACTTCGCATCGTCTCTTTACTTCTTGATCTCCAATACATTCTCCTGCGTACTCACAAACGAATTCTCTATTTTGAATCGGTTCTTCGGCAAGGACACCGTCTCCTTTTTCGGATGTACTGAAAATCTAAATTATCGATTTACAGGCGTGTTTAATTATGGCTGGTTACCTTCAACTTCTTTTTAATTCCATTCTGCACAACTTTATTCCTACACGAGTAGGGAAGCAGACAACAGGCACAATTTGTAGAACATTCTATGAGCAATGACGTGGCAACAATTCTACCGTCTTCTGAATAATTATCAGTGGCGCCAGTCATACAGGAGCACTGGTTCTCTATAGAACACTGGGTTTCGCAATCGCATCCTTGGAATTCGTCGTTCCAATCGTCTTGGGAAACTCCGGGTCCAGGAATCGTTGTTGTAATTTCCTCATAGTTCATCTGAACGGGATGGTGTGATGTATTTTGCGAATTTCAAACTTCTATATAAGTTAAAGGCTCTGATGACCTTGAATATACTATTCTTTCAGACGCCTAAAGCATATAAAACCGTTTATTAACTATCATCCGGCATTGTATTAGAACAAAAGTGAACATCGTACACGAAGGCTTTGAAATAAGGCAACTCTGATATAATAAATTAATGATGCTTGGAAGGTAAAGCTGCAGTATGTAAAACTGGGCAAGCTATTCAACGAGGAAGTTTCGGGATGGTTTCAACTGAATAACATGTTATATAACATCTATTGGTTGGCAGTGTTGAATCTGATGTAGGTGAAAGGAACTGATCCGATTTGTCCATCAAGTTCTGCTCTGTACATTCCGTTGGACATTTTTTCGAGGACACGAACAGTTTGTCCTTTTTTCACTCGCAGTTGGGTGGGATCGTAGGCGTTCGGCACTCTGTCGAATGTCACTTTGGCTGTTGTTGGCAAGGTAGGCTGAAAAATAAAATTATGGTTTTTTTTTCAAATTCTGAGAAAGCAACTCACATGAGCCTCGGCATTTTCACTGCTTGTGCTTGTGCTTGAGAATCGTTCAGCTCCATTACCACTACTTCCAATCGAAGATTGACTAGTGCCTTTGGAGATCCTTTCATTGGCGAATTCTCCGCTCTGAACCTGTACATAGTTTGCTGGAACTAGTCCAGTCGTTCCCAAAGCGTTTCTTGCTTCCCACCAATCGTTATTGGTTTTAGCTAGAAAATTTCGAAATGGACAGCAATTTTCCTATGTTATAACTTACAGAGAATCTCCAGCCTTTCGCCTTGTTCGAAAGGAAGATCTGTTTCTCGTTCTCCGGTGAACTTGAATGTTCCAACCACGACTTCAATTATGGGTTTCTTATACGCGGAAAGAAGACTGGCTTCTGTTAACACACGCATTTTGAAATGATTCAGAAGAGCAGGAATATCAGGAAAGGACTGTTCAGCTATCTGAAAACTTGAATAATGCTGACTATAAATTGATACTAAATACCTTTACACCAGCTGTACCATCTTCTTTAACGTCTCTTACAATCAAGTAATGACATACTGTGTTTCCTTCGTCAGCTTCTCGAACGGAGAGCGAGTACTCGCCGGGCTGTGAGCTGTCTCTCATCAAAAATGTGCCGATCGAGACTCGTGGTTCGCCGAGCAGTTTGTGTGCATCTTCACGGCTCATTCCAGGAAAGTAAAACGAACGCCATTCGAATGGGTCGAAGCCGTTCATATTCATCTGTAATGAGAAATGGGGTTGAAACTTCACCTTGGAAGATTGGGGAAACTGACTAATACGAATTTGTTTAAGTAATTATTTGAATGAAGATAATTTTGTTAATGGAGAAAGTGAGAAAAATCGGGGAAAAAGCAAACAATTCCTTGTTGAAATCAGTCAGCTGTTGACATTTTCCGAGAGGACTACACGGCAAGGCATGCGATGGGATTGCAGGCCTGAAACCCCGCCCCCAAAAGCGCGCCGCATTGCATTTGAACTTCGTTTTTCCGCGAAAAACTGGGTTTTCAGAAACAAAAATCTTGAAGCTGAACTTCATTTGTGACATTTTAAATGAATTGGAATCGTTTAACAACTTGATATCTTTTCCAAGTCTTTATAACTTTCTAATGAGCCCGGATAATTAAATGCTATGAATTTCAGCTTCCGAGATGAGCGTCTCGTTCATGGAGTTGGGATCAGCCGACTCTGCGGAAGCAGCAGCTAACAAAGTCGCTCTTCACGTCGAACAGATGCTCGAGAGTTCGGATTTTTTCGACCGTCTAACACAAACGGGAACCACGCCGGTGTCGGGACTCGGCGAGAAGTTCTATGTGAAAGGAGCGCCAGAGTTTGTCAGCAAGAGAAAGATGCCGATACCCGGAGAACTTCAGATGCAGATGAATAGTGAGAAAAGCTATTTCAATAGAGGGAAAATCTGATTGTTTTTCTATTTCCAGATATTCACAGCGAGTTCAGTATGGGGTTCTTCAGACAGATCAGTCGAGTATGGGTTGTCATCGACAACAACCTATATATGTGGAACTACGAAACAAAGTGAGACAGATAAAGGCCTTCACAATAAATTTTTACTCTGTTTCAGTGATGATTTGGCATTTTTCGACTCGTCAGACTCCGCGATTCTGAAAGTGGCGTTGGTGGATATTAAACCAGGTGTCTTTGAAGACGATATTCGATACGGACTCGTCGTTGGAACGATTTCTGACATATGCCTCTACCCTGTGTTCGATTCGGAAGAAAATGGACAGAGCAATATCACAATTGACTCTAAGCGATGTTTCAAGATTGCCTTGGATGGTGCCACAGTTAACGATATTGCTTACACGAGCTGTGGACGTGTTTTCTACACTGCCGACGATCAATTATTCGAATTCGTCTACGAAAAGCAACACGGGTGGTTTGGATCAACTAGTCACAAGTGTCGTGGAGTCAATCAAACGGCTTCCATTCTTGGCACAATCATTTCACTGCCATTTTTCGGCTCTTCGAAAGAGCAGCTCGATCAAATCTCCATGGATCGATCTCGAAATCTCATGTATCTTCTCGGAAGAAATGGAACTGTCAGCGTGTGGGATCTGGGTGCCGATGGGGCTGGCTGTCAGAAGTTTGTGAGCGTTCCGATGTCAAAAATTGCTCACGAAGCTCTCATATTGACCCAATTCGGGCATGATGAATCTTCTTTTCACAACATCACCTCGATCAAAGCTCTAGAAGCACATCAATCTGCAGCGTTGAATTTAGTAGCTACAACTGCTAAAGGCGTGAGACTGTACTTCTCAGTATCAACCGGACCACAAAACACCGTCGGACAGATTAATAACAACGGAAAAGTCAACGAACGAGTAAGAATTTCGAATTTTATTTACGATTACTAGTTTTACTAGTTCCAGAATCGTCCTCAAACTTCAGTCCGTCCTCAGTGCCTTCGAGTTGCTCATGTACGTTTTGCTCCAGGTGTTACGCCGACAAGCATTTACGGAGATGGACCCAACGGTGTATCTGTTGTTTATAATGATGAATGTGAGTTTAAACATATTTTTTAGTAAAATGTTCATTTTTTTCAGCCATCTGCGCTATGGCTACTGCTAACCGCAATACGATCTTCACCTTCTCCAACTTCTTCTATCCTGCCACTCAGTGTTTTGTGGAATCATCGGTGAGTTTTATATTTCATAGGTTCTTATGTAAGTTTGTTGTTTTTCAGACAGAATGCGATATCACTGGACATGTTTGGGAGATTGAGACCATTTCGCACAGCAAGATCAAGTCTCGCGCACCGCCAAAGCATCTTGTGGATCGTGTCCATCCGCACCCGTTCTATCGATCACAATTAGAAACCAATCACCGTCTTCTCGTGTGTTCCAACGAAGGCGTCTTCGAGTTTGCACAAATCAATGCTGTGGAAGCACTCCGAGAAGCGTTGTTTGACGGAGGTGTTGAGGGAAACGCAACACTTCAACTCTGGCAGAAAATTGGACCCACTGAAATTTTGATTCTCGCTTTCCGAATCCTGGTTTCGGACACCCCGATCGATGAGAGGATTCGCGGAAAAGCCGAACAACTACTATACAGTATTAAGGAGAATCCAGAGATCATTGATAATGGAAGGCTTACTGATCAATCGACATGGTCACCCAATGATAGTAGTATGGCTGAGTGGAGGCACCGCATGAAGACTCCACTGTTATCCTCGACACCCAGAAATGATGCCCGTAATGGTCAGACCCTCTATAGTTCCCCATTCTCGCCGGCATGTAAGTTTTATTTTCCTACTTCAAGAATCTTCTAATTATGAATTCTATTCAGTAGACATATCTGTCGCTTCTGGACATCATGCCAATATGAAGTTGTCGACGACTCGACGTCATGATGCTCTTTTCTTCTACTTCTCTCGTCTTGTCGCTCCAGTTTGGAATGATACGATTTGTGAAATTTTCAACGAGAAGCATTTACGAATCACATTTGAGCCAGAATCTATTCTGATGCTCAAGGAGGAGGTTCAGAAGATTGGAAGACTCATGGATGACTATCGATTGGTGCCCAACATGGAGTTCGGATACACTGCAAACGTTGCGGATCGCTTGAATTCTGAAGCGTCAACTCTGGAGCGACAATCGTTGATTGGTCTTCGAAAGCTTGTCGACGCCACTGTGGAAACCCTCTCGCTCTGGCTGATTGCTTACGAGCACAATCTCGCAGCGATTTCTTCGGGAATGAATCCACAACTCTTGCCAAACTTCTGCTCCCGAAAGCTTGCTCATTTGGTATCCGACGGAAGCAATTTGAACGCAGAGCTCATCCGTGCCATGATAAAATACTTCCTTGGCGATGAAGCAGGAACGAAAACTCTATCCGAGAATCTCCGTCAAATGTGCCCCAATCTATATTCCGAAGATGACGCATGTGTCACTTTCGCTATGGAACAGTTGGAAGCTGCCAGAAAGCAAGGCGCTGGATCCGCTCGCCGTCGATTAGTACAAACAGCAGTGGATATGTTCAAGCAGTCTATTGGAAAAGTCGTTTTGGTATCTACTTGTCAGCAGCTGGCGGAGAGTGTAGAAGCTTACGAAGCTATTGTGGAGCTGTGCCTTCTGAGGGCAGCCAAGGATGACCCGAAACAACTGGCACTGTTAGCTTACAAGCATGGAAGGAATGGATCAGATGCAGAGATGTTGTCGGCTGAGAAGAAACGATCCGATTGCTACAGGTATGATATATTATCCTAATTAAAAATGAACTTTTTTTTTCTTCAGAGTTATAACCGACGAACTGGAGAGACTTGATGAAGAAGCAACATCAGAAGTTCCTCGTGATGCCGCCGTCAACCGAGATTTGATGATCAACGCGGTTCTCAATTCAGAAGATCAACTTGCGCATGCAGCCGTCTTCCGTTGGCTCTTGACCAAGAATAAGACGAACGTGATTCTGCAGAGCAAGTCACCATACATCGAATTCTTCCTTGTTCAAGAAATCAACGCCGGCCGCGGACAGAAATATTTCGATTTACTGTGGAGGTTCTACGAGAAGAGTGGAAATTACGATAAGGCGGCGCGTCTGTTGAGCAAGCTAGCAGAAAATGACAAGTAATCATTTGATTTGAGTTTAAGGTTTTCATTAAATTGTTTCAGTTGGAAGATGGGATTGACACAACGATGCGCTTATCTTTCTCATGCCATTCTCTGTGCTCAGTCATGCAAGGATTCAACAGTAACGGCTAACATTGATGAGCTCCGTGATCGCTTGGATGTTGCTAATGTTCAGATGAGAATCAAGTGAGTGATTTGAACTGAGAGGCTCGTCTAAATATATTGTTTCAGAGACGCATTGAGTAATTCACGCAATGAGGAGCTCGTCGCCAAGTTAGATGGTCCAATACTATCTCTCCAAGAACTGCTGCTTCAATTCGTTGTTCCATTCAAGATGCACAAGATCAAGCTCGCCCTACTTCACTGCGCCGGAATGTATGTTGAAGAACATATATTCGAAACATGGGAGAACATCATCCAAGACGAATTCACAACTGCACACAACGAGGATGCTCTCTGCGATCAGCTGGCGAACACAATTGGAGAGCTCTTCCAAGTCTATAGAGACACTAAATACTTCCCGAAGGAGTTCATCATTCGTCGGATATTGGAAATCGGCTCGGGCGGCGTCACTGGCGTAGGACAAACACAACGGCTCGTTCTTCCACCCAGCTTCTATCCACTTTTGTGTCGAAAGATAGAGCTCACGAATTGCGATTTCTTGAAGATTGCTTCCGAGGAATTCAGAAGCGGTGGTGATGCCTGGTGGACACACAATTCACGTGGACAAGAGTACATCACCAAAGTGGTTTTGAAGCTCACAAGAACTGTTATCAGAGAGTTGGAGAGTGCGCCAACAACGATGAGCAGGTGATTACTTTATTTTTTATCATGTTTATCTTTTGTTTTGACTCACAGGGATAGCAGGAAAAAGTTTAGACTGTGAGTTCCAAAATTTCGAAGTTCCAACCTATGTTTGTCTATAGCGTTTGTCTATATACCTCATATTCATCTAGCTGTACATTTCACTATCATCATTTTCAGAAGATCAACAGCTCGCGAGTGTCTCACTCACATCCTCCCATTCATCCGTCGTTCGTGTGACGTCTCCGCTGCATTGAATCTCCAAAGTCTTGGCAACGAGCTCACCGCTCTCCAGAACCGACTCTCCGAACTGTCAAACTAACTTCTTCTTCACCCTCTTTTTAAAAAGATTCCCTCTCGGTGTTATTCATTGATCATGTCATTAAACCACGAACTTTCTCTCATAAGTTTTTGTTGTCTGTTAAATTTGTGTCCTCCCCTCTCTTTTATTTTTGCTGTTCTAATTTTGTTTTAATTGCCACTTTTTAGCTTTTCGCTCCTCACACACACACACACACACTTTATATTTATTTGGTTTTTTTTTCATCGTTTTTCTTCATCCATCATCCTGTATCTCTTTGTTTACAACAATCCCAAAATCCCGCCCAGTCTTCCGCTCCGTTTGCAGTCTCTCAAAATATCATCGAATTTGTGTGATCCCTTCCGTTCGTCATCCGGTCTCTATCTAGACACTATCCCATTCTGATTCATTTTTCTATATTTGCAAATAAACTTCATTTTATCGTGTTTAGGCATTTCCATCTAGTTTTAGGTCCCACTTGTTCCGGGTAGCGTATCCCATAGTTACCTCCCTCTTCTCGTTTTCTAAATCTCACACTATTTCCCTTAGTTTTTTTATTTTTTAAGTTAGAATTTCCGCATTCAGAAGCCGTCGTCGTCGGAATTTCGGTTTAGAAGCACTTTTGCTGCGATCACTGAGTCATCACTACTGATAAGAATTAAGCCAATCATATGGTTTTTCGATTTTCCGTTCTTCAAAAAGCTGCTATTATTTTCAAAATCTTCGATGAAAAAGTTTTCGTTATCACTAATTTCTTTATTTGTGAGCCGCCAAACGGCATGATAAAAAGTTTTAGTTCCGAAACTCAAACATTGAGAGCATTATGTAACAACGTGGCAATAACTGAGAGCATTATGAAAGAGGTGGACGAGAATTTGGTGGTTGTTTCGACACTTGGAGAAGTCGATTGGTATGATGATGTTGTGGGGGCACTAGAAGAATTTCCTGGGTTATTGGTAGTGGACGATGGGTTGGGAGCAGCGCTGGATGAAACGGATGGTGGTGGAGAGGCTGTGGATGAAGCGGATGTTATGATTGGTCCATTATCAGTGTTGAAATATTGGGTGAAGTAATTTCCAATGAAGGCATTGCTTGGCATAAGTTGCAAGCTTAAAGCTGGCCAACTTTGTGCCTCCTGGTTGTTAATACTCGTTCCGTTATATCTGAAAATTTCAAAATCTCAAGTTCAAGAAGTAGGCAGTTCAACTCACTGAACGGTGGAAGACAATGTTCCTTGTCCATTCAGTTGAAGAGCTAGGTGAGAGTCACCAAACAATTCAGTCGTTAGTACGTATCCACTAGTTCCCATTCTATTGTCTCCAGCAAACATGAATTTTACCTGACTATTAATAGACCCCAGCTGATTGTTAGACATTCCAGTGACAGTGACAGCTCCAGTTTGAATAGTCGCTGTGTCAACTGCGAAAGACGATTTACTTATATTTGAAAACAATCCTGGTGGCCTATTCTTACCATAACTATCTGAAACATTGAGCTTGAAACCTCCAACTCCTCGGAACCACACACTGCTTTGCGAGAATTGTATTGGATCGATCTGAGTGAAAAATGTGGATTGCATTGCTCCTCCTACAAAGTAACTGAGTGGATTCGAGAATATTCTTCGCTGTATAGTATCCAGATTTGTCACATCTTGATAGTTATCATTTGGCAAATAGCGATAGAAAGAGAGAGTGGTGCCCGGTGGTTGTGCGATGTTCTCAACACGGATATGATTAAAACCAGCGTAGTTTGGGACTCCATCTGTGTTCTGGCTGTGTGCTGCAAGGAACACAATTGTTGTATCCGTGGCAGTGCTTCTGTCCAATTGCATAGCGCTTCGAGCGGGAACAACGAGAAAGTTGGGATCCTTGGCCATGGTTGGAGTGACAATTAAAAGCTCTCCAGTTAGATTTTTGGTTAGACCTTCGGAGTTTGTTGTTGAAATGGTTAGATCACTATTGACTGTCCATCCTCTTGGCAAACCAGCGTCGTCGAAATAGTTCAATAGATTGAGGAGTCTGAAAATTGTATTTCAAATTTAGGAAGGAATCCGCAAATCGGCTAACGTTTTAGATGCTCCTTGAGTGGACAGGGTTATACTTCCAAGATAGGCGGCTTTGTCTCGAGAAGATAAATAGATTTTGGAACCATCCAGAACATCCTTTATCGGTGTTGCTACTGTGTTATTGAACGAGCTCAATTTATGGATAGTAGAACTAGCCGAAAAGACAGCAGGAATTAAAAGAAAAATCGAGAATAGTGTTCTTGTCATGATGTTTGTGGTGGAAGAAGTGACAGGCTAGGTGTGTCGGGGAAGACAGTCCTTTTAAGTGCTTTCTGTGCTGATATTAAAGAGTGTTGGGGTGGAAACACGTCAGTTTATATGATTAGACAATTTGAATCATCGGCAATGATTAGAGGATCATATTACGTCGGAGGTCTTGGTCTTCTGAAATCAACAGCTTTTATGGCAATTGTTTTGGGGAACTACAGTACCTTCAGTTGATTGTCGGCCATTTTGATCGTCTTCAGAAACTTGGAACTTGCCTGTCAAGTTTCCATTCACTTTGAAAGCTTTGGAGAATGTAAAACAGACCTAGATTGCTAAAGTTGCATTCAGAGAATTTTCGCAAAATTCTTTTTTTTTCGATTTCTAAAAGACGCCTATTTTTGGACGTTTGCAGTACAAAACCATACCAGAAGGGGGTGTCTTTAAGAAATCGGAAAAGTTTAGAATTTTCGAAAAATTCTGTGAATTCAAAGATATCAATCTATGTCTAGGCGCCGCAATGAAAGGGGGCGGGGCGACCAAATTTTTCTCCCCTTTTCAGAAACCCATCTTTGAAGTCTTGTACCGGGCGTTAGAAACTCATTATTTTTAGGGTTAAAACTTGTCCCTACATAATAGACTGCGAAAAATCGAATGAAACTATCAGTTTTTTGATATTTTCATTATTTTGATTCGAAAACTTCGAAAAACAGGAATCAGACTGACAAAGTGGACTAAAAGTATTGGATGGAAGTTAGTGCCTCTAAATTTTTTGATGGATTCTGGTAGTTTATAAAATGGGAGGTTGGATTATGAAATAAATTCAAAATTCTACTGTGGCGGTTGTGACACAATTTTCAGCCAAAGTTCCAGCCAAAATACAGAAAAAATTTCAGCGATGACCCCAATTTTTTTTGCATATTATGGTGAAACTAAGTCTTGTGTACATCTGTGCCAATTTTCAGAAAGATTGGCTACTTTTAAGCAGTTTTAATACTCATCCGAAAATTCCAAACTTTCAAAATTTTCGGTTTTTGGGATTTTTGATGGTGACAAAGGTGAGTGCCTCCGATTTTCTTTCTACCATAAGAAAATACCCTAAATTTTCTATTAAATAAAATCTTAACCAGAAAATCCTACCATGGCGGTCATATCTAAAACTTCTGTTTCCTCTTCTTTCATATTTTAGCCGGAAGTTCGAATCCCTCTTTTGTCTATTGTCTTTTTCTTTAATTTCCTTGTCGAATTTTCCGCGCCGCAGGATTGCAAGCTTCTAAACCCCGCCCACTTTTCTGCGCACCGCAAAAAAAATGAGGAGAAAGTCAGTACATTGAGGTCTAATAGAAAAGGGTCTGTAACTCGTGTCTGGAGAAAGATTTTTCGCTGAAGTTTTCGGAATGGACTTCTATAAGAGTGGAGAAGAGAATCCAACAATAAAAATAAGAAAATATCTATTTTGAAAATTATGTTGTGGTTCCTATCTATGTCTGTTTTATATCCTCCAAAATTATCAGTGGTTGGAGCCTTGACAGCAGAGCACCGGATCCTTGAAAATGCCAAAAATCAACTGAAAATGTTCCCAAAGAACCATAAGCATAGAAGCTGTTGATTTCAGAAGACCAAGACCTCCGACGCACTATGATCCCAATCATTCCGATGATTCAAATTGCCAAAAACCAGATGAAAAATTTCGCTGTTGTGATCTGAATCTGATCAGAAGCCTTTATTTCCTTTGGTCAGAATTTTTCTGACCCTGTTTGGCAACAACCAGATTACCCCTTTAATTTTGCGACTGGTTTTTTTATTGTGGTGGGTTTCAACTGTTATCATCAGACACACCTTTATTTATACAATGAGACATTATTGATAAAGTTATACTAGCAAAAACTCGAAGAATACAATTAAGATAAAGGTGAAATTCAAAAGTTGAAGAGATGACTTTGTTGTGGTTTCTGGAGTTTGTACTGTTGTTGAAGTTACTGTAGTCGGAGAGCTCACATTTCCTTCTAAAAAAAGAATGATAAATTGAATATTAGCTTGCTGTATACCTATTCGGTAGTATTGCAAGTAGTAGAATCCAAAATCGGTTTTCGCATGATCCATGTACATGACAGTGTCGTTTCGATAGTTTTGGAAAAAGTCAGCATAAACTGGCATATCTTTGGAGAATCTAAAAAGTTTTCAAAAATTATTTTTTTCACTCTACCAGCGACCGACTCACACTTCAACTTTGCAATCTATGCCATTGCAACTAGTCACAGTCATATTGGAACTCATATCTGATGTGGTGATCTGAACGCCTCAGATTACCTAGGTCTGAACTTGAGAATCTCAAGGTACCCTAGCTTACCATGAATCCAGAAATGCCATCATGATTAGGAGTGTTATTGAAGTTGATAGTGGCGTTATCACTGACACGCTGACTCATAGTATATCCAGTTGTCGTTTCGCTTGTGGTCTGATAAGTTGTCATATCATTCCACTCTTGAGATATGTTGAATTTGATACTGCCCAGGGCTCGAACATAAAAGGAACGCAGTGAGAATTGGATTGGTTCAATATTATTGATGAATCTGAAGAAACAATTCTATAAGAATAATATATGAAGAGCTTACATGGTGTCTGGCGTTTTCACAGATGGAATCATCCTTACTGGGTTTCGAAAAATCATTCTCTTAGTAGTCTCTTGATAGGTTGGATCACTGTACCCATCTCCAGGTACTCCACGATACATAAAGAAAGTTGACGTCGCTGGCTGTACGAAACTGTCTAATCTTGAGTTATAAAATGGCTTATAGTTCTGATCTGGCTCTACTCGCTTATTCAAAAGAACAAGCGTTGTTTCATTGTTAGCTGATCGGTCGATAGTTTTAACTTGATCGGACACTACATAAACCAAAAAGTTGGGATCCTTTGCCATAGCTGGATTTGAGATGAATAGTATTCCACTCAAGTTTTCAGTTACATCTTGAGTATTGGTAGTTGCAATTGTGATATCACTGTTAACCGGTAACCCAGTGCTGTAACCATCGTCATCAAAATTATTCAGAATTTGTTGCAAGGTTGTAGTAATCCCATTCGATGATAATGTGATTCTGCTTAAGATGACAGCCTTGTCTGAGGCAGCAATGTAAAGTTTTGAGCCATCCTGTTAATTAGAAACCTTATCAAAAAAGTGAAAAGCCTGATTACCTCCACATTATTAATTTTCGTTGGATTTGACGAATTATATTGGTAAAGCTCTACAACAACAGTCGCAGTACATAGTCGTACGATAGCAAGAAAACACAAAGTGATAGGAATCATCTTCGGATGATTCTAGACACACATTTTTGCTGCTTTTATGCATTTTTCCCTACATGTGTTATCATTTATCATCCAGCCATTTTTTACGAGCTGTCGGTGTGTGTAACCAATGAGAAAGTGATGCGAACATTCATGCAAAGTGAGTCTTCATGCAATGTTTCATAATTTTATCATTTTTGAAAGAGAGGGGGTGTTGATTAAATGATTAGAATAAGCTAATCTTATTTAGAGTATCAGTAGAGTGAGTACAACAAAAAATGAGAAGAAACTGAATGGAGATCGAACAACGCTGGTAGTTGTAGCAACGGTGGCTGAAGAGGTGGTGGGGGAACCAGCGGTTACTGTAGTTACAGTTCCTGCGTTCACAGTTGATACTGTAGATCCTGGAGGAAAAGCAGTTGTTAGAGTACTTCCTGCTGCTTGAGTCGGACCAGTTCCAGCGGTCACTGTGCTTCCTTGTGGTACTGTAGCTCCTGATGTCGCTACGGTTGTAGTCATTGGAGTTCCAGCATTGCCTGAATCAGAATGAAGCCGTTGATACAATCAATTTCCAACTTACTGTTACTGAAATACTGGCAGTAAAACGTTCCAGCAGAAACATCAGAAGAGCTGACTGTCAACGTTTGTGCAGAGAATTTAACTACTTTCACCAATTGAGTTGCATTATTTTGGATGTCATAACTGTAAAAGTTTTGATAACTTTCGGTTTGAAACGAAATAGATAAATACTTTTGCACCGAATTCTCGTCACTGCCATTGAAGACAAAACTGACCGTGGCGCGAGGAGAAGGGTATGCAGAAATCTAAAAATAGGAAGTTGCGATAAGCACAAATTGAACTTAAAGTTTACCAAACTGCCGAAAGTTTGCGTATTCACAGGATCTTGTTGAAAGTTAACAGTGTGCTGATTGAATAGGAAGGTACCACTAACAACCAATCCTGTGGTGCTCACCGCCGTTGTAGTGTAGTTATGGTTGGGTACTGTAACAACAGCGCTTCATGATTAAATCATTATGGTTTCCCCTACCATAAGTATTCTTCATAGTCATGCTCACACTTCCGGAGCTAGAAATATACCAGTAGTCTAGACCGATTTGCAGTGGTTCAACATGATCAAAAAATCTGAGAAGAGTTTTAGAATGAAAAATGAAATTGGGTAGATCTCTCACAGTTGTGTTGTATTCAGAAGATTCCCATTTGAGTCGTAGTTGTTGTAATTGAATGGGTTCCTAAAAAACTGATTGTTGGTGGCTTGCTTCCCGGGAATTCCCCATTGGAAAATAACTGTTTTGTCCTGGAAATTAACAAAAATAGTTATCAACTAGAACGCTCTTAACATACGATATCCATTTTAAGATCAGACACATATGTAGTTTTCTCTGATCGATCTACGTCGTCGGGTGGTGTGACCAACTCAGTATTGAGAATTACTGTAGTTGCTTGAGCACCACTCAGAACAATGTTATGGGTGCCAGTGATCACATAGACTCCGAATGATGGGTCTTGAGCTTGTTGAGCTGTGGTCACATACAAATATCCTGTCAACGCGTTTGTTGCGGAATCTGTATTGGTTGTAGTGATAGTTAATCCTCCACTGATCGTAATTTTCTGTGGGATTCCGTCTGGTTGCACTGCTGCCAGATCAGAAAGTCTACAACCAAATAATTCAAGCTTAAGAATGCCGCTTTTGCACTTACAAGTAGGGTTTCCCTCCTGTCACCAATTGGATATTATTTAAACTTGCTACGGCATCATTAGAGGCAACATACAGGCTTCCTCCTTCCTCCACATTATTTACCTGGTAGTTCGTACCATTCGTGTAATCTTTCAAAATCAAAACTACTGGGTCCGCAGCAACATTAGAAACAATAGTAGCAGAAAAAAGAAAAACGAGGATAGAGCAAGCCCGCATCACTGCTGAATGAAGGAATGTTTATGGGAAACGCCTTACACTCTCGCTAATTTAAGCCAATTTCAAGCTGCTGCTGATAACACAGGAGTCACAATTGTAATGATGTTCTGTGTCTTAATTCCTGACCATGACGAGGAGTGGAATCAACAGGAACCGAGAGTCGATGCTAGAAATAGAAGAGCAAATTGTTTCGAGAGTTTCAAATAAAAAGAAAAAACGAATTAAAGCTAGAGCGAAAATCATAATAATCAAGTTAAAAATATTTCGAGATCTGGCGGTATTTGTAGTTGTAAACACTGTAGTAGTAGAGACGCTACTCGTGGATTGTGTTGTTGTCGTTGTTGTTGATGTAGTGGGCACCAATCCTCGAGTGAATCCATAATATTGACAGTAGAAAGCGCCAGGAATCATATCTGCTGAGTTGGTTACCAGTTTCGAAGCTTGCATATAAGTGGTCAGCAAGGCATGCTTCACAAAAGTGTCTTCGTTGTAGCTGAAAATTTCCGGAGAATAAAACTTTTTAGGTACGGTATATGTCGTTGTGGGACCTTCGGCCACGCGATTTTCTGAACCTAATGCTAGAAAGGAAACCAAATTATTTTGGGAGCATAAATAGGTCAACGTCGTTCCTTAAGTATAACGGTAGCGATAAGAAATGACTAGATGATATTTTTTAGTACTGAAAGTGTCTTGCAGTGACTCAAACATCCAGAAATTTCAATTTTTGTTTCTCTGTTAACTGATGACCTAGTTCTGGAACCAGCCTGAATGTAACTTTGAAAAAAGACTCAAGATAGTTTGAAATGTGAAACATCAGAGCACATTACAGATTGCGATGACAGAAGACGGGTCCAGATCGGTTAACCACTACCCTACAGTTGACGAGATTCTCAATGTCGAGTCACAACAAAGATGCAGTGTATGTGGACGTGTGTTCCAGAATTCGTCAGCTTGTCGATTCCACGAATTGAAGATTCACTCGAAAACGGATGCTGCTGGCCCGAATGAGGCGCGGCTTTTGAAACGAACTTCTGATGAACAACGTAAGATACCTACTCAGCGACTAGTTAAATTTTAAAATTTCAGCCATCAGAATGAAATTCCACTGTCCAGAATCATCGTGTGAGCACAAAGTTTTCGATGGGCTACGATACTTGAGGCAACACTACATTCGATCACATGCGGAGAAGAAGTTCACCTGTGAACGATGTGGGCTAAAATTGGCACTGGAAAAAGATATCAACTACCATAAAAAGCACAGATGTTCTGGATTAAGGAAACCCAAAGGTTTGTGTGTTTTTAAGATGAGAAAAAGAACAAAAAATTGAAATGCAATGATCTTTTATTAAAATAGAATCGTCGTTTAGACGTGCGAGAAACGGCGTCTGTATCCTCCTTGAGCGGCTGGTTGAGCCTCGACAGCGGCGGTACGTGGTGGGCATGGGCAATATGCGGCGTCTTGTCCTGGAAGTCCAGCACCTCCGGCCTCTCCGTCTTGTCCTGGAGCTCCAGCCTCTCCGTCTTTTCCTGGTGCTCCGGCTGGTCCTTCTGGTCCGGCGTTTCCTGGGGCTCCGTCTTGTCCTGGGGCTCCGTCGTTTCCGGCTGGTCCAGCTGGTCCTTCTGGTCCTTGTGGTCCTGGGGCTCCTTGTCCGGTTGTCCGTTCTTTCCAGCGGCTCCTGGGGCTCCGGCTTCTCCGTCTGCTCCTGGTGCTCCAGCATCTCCTTGCTCTCCGGCGGCTCCTGGTTGTCCGTCTTGTCCTGGGGCTCCTGGGGCTCCAGCCTCTCCGTCGGCTCCTGGTGCTCCGGCTGGTCCGTCTGGTCCGGCTGGTCCTGGCTCTCCGGCTGGGCACTTGATGCATCCTCCAACATCTTGAGAGTTGACGATTCCGACTCCGTTGACTCCATTCTTTCCGGCTTGTCCTGGAGCTCCATCGTCTCCTGGGGCTCCTGGGGCTCCTGGTGGTCCAGCTGGTCCAGCTGGGCAGTTGTTTGGCTGACCTCCGCATCCGCAGGTTCCTCCCGATCTCTTGTTACGTCCGAAGATAAGGTTAGCCTCGACAGTTGATCCAGCTGGAACGATCATGTCCTTCCAGGCCTCGTTGGCAGTGTACTGAAAAAAAGCTTATTTAGTACCAATCAAAAGTATTCTAAAACTCACTCTGAACTCGGTCATGTCATCCATAACATCGTAGTACAAGTCGTTGATATCCTGGAGGAGCATTCCAGCGGCGACCAGAGACACGAGAATCGTGACTCCGGAGAAGAAAGACGCTCCGATAACGATGGCTTTGGTACTCATGTTGAGACTGAAGTCTTCTTCCGTGTCCGATGCCTTTTATATGTGTCTCTGTTCCCCAAAATGGGCGGTATCGTCGGTGTGGTAGCTTACCTTGAAGCCGATGCATATCTTTGTGTAAGATCTTGATGTTTCCTACGGCAGGTGTGTGTATGTCTGCGTCTCTTTGTAAAATTAGATTTTATCGTAACAGCGTCAGTTTTTGGCAGTTTCTGAAGCCAGAGGGACGGTGACATTGAAAATTCAGAGACATCTCATTGAAAAGTCGATAGACTATAATTCTTTCATAACACGAGTACGGTAATAACTCCAATAGAAGACCAACCTATACTTGAATTTTGAACTCAATTATCTCAATTTCTATGAGAGATAGCAAAAATCTGTCAACTGATAAAATGGTTTTCATAATATCACAAAAATTTTATCAGTTTACAGATTTTTTATATGTTTTGTAGAAATTTAGATAATTGAGCTCAAATGTTTGATACCCCTAAAGTTCAAAATAATAACGTTTTGGAAGCTCAGATATTTTTGAAATTGAATAATTTTGAATAGTTCATCACACATCCCATTATAGTTTCCTTCCTTCATCCTAAGTTCCGACACTTCGTAAACAAGCCTAGCTGACAGTGTATATAATCAAGTTCTTCTCTTTTTTTTTCTTCATCTCCAACGATTTTCATTACGCAACATTCTGTTGTTTTCCGCTTTTCTCCCTTCTCCCCCCGTCGGCAAAAGAAGAGGTTGAAAAAACTGAACCTCTTACGGGCGCCTGGTGGCAGTGTCACAAAAATTAATGTCCGTGTGTGGCATTGGGCACGATATCTAAGCGATTGATCTGTAAAAGAATAAGTCCCCTCTGTAGTCACAAGGGGTACCCAGGTTGTTTGAAAGAAACTGCGAAATTTGGCTGCATTGTGATGACCTTGTCGAGATTTTCAATAAAATAATGAATAGGGCATACACCTCAACACCTGTAATAGAAGGGCGCCCACACAATTTCAAATTCGAGCTAATTTATCCCCTATCCATGTCTACCCGGGCCACTCTATCCTTGCTCTTTGACCTCAAGTATCTCAATTTCTAGAAGACATAACAAAGATGTGTCAACTGGTAATATATTTGTGAAATTATGATAAACAATTTATCAGTTGACAACTTTTTGATATCTTACATAGGAACCTAGATAAATTGGCTCAAAGTTAAAAGTTAGAGACCCTTCTATTACAGGTTTTATAAATTCAAATAAAATGATAATTGGGTTAATGAACAGGAATTGAATTTAATCTATTCTTACAGATACGGATAACAACTTCCCAAAAGCGAAGAAGCTCAAAAAGCACGAATCCGCAACAAGAACATTTTTGGAAGAGGCTCTAGGATCAAGCTCTATGGTCCCGATTATCTTACTTGTGCCACCCGAAGACGTGCAGAAGGTTGTAGAATCCGTTCAGAATAACTTCAAAGCCACTCTGGTCGACAATTTCACGGAGGAGCCAGAATCTGGGAATTTCGCAGAAGTCGCAACTCAAGTGCAGATGCCTTTTAATGTACAGAATCAGGATGTTCCAATGTATGCAACTGCTTCCACGTCGACTTCGTTCGCCGCTCAGTACGATGAGCAGGAAGTGACGTTTTGCGAGCGGGGAACGATGATGACCGAGGAGGAGCCGTTGCGATACTTTAGTCCGCCGTATGGAGCGGAATTTGGGGATTTGAATCCGCATGAAAGGTGAGGTAGAAGACTAATCAAGATGCCGTAAAACCTGCGATAGAATGACCCGCACACTGTGAAGTTTGAGCTCAATTATCTCGGCTGCCATAAGAGATATCAAAAATGTGTCAACTGATAAAATGTGATAAAATGTTTGGGACATTATGATAAGCAATTTATCAGTTGACTACTTTTTCATATCTTTTACAGAAACGGAAATAAATTGTCTCAAAGATAAAGTCAAGGGGCATTTCTATTACAGGTTTTACGGTAGTTTTGTCAAAAAAAATATTTTAGTGGACCTCAACAATTCGACTACTCTTCACAACCATCTACATCCCAACCTCAAACTAGGAACCGTGGAACGATGTTTGAAAAGTAACCACCTTCCTCAATTACCGCATTTCTCAATCTTTCTCTCTTCCAGCGTAACCACTTGCAATACGGGCACTTCGATGATGGGCGAACAGTTTCCAGACTGCACACGCCACATATACACCCAGACTCCAAACTATCCGATGGGCTCCTCAGATCCATCCAACTGGTCGTGGTCCAATACCTGACAACTGACTTTTTGCTCTCTTTTCCACCCCCTCCTATTTCAACCAACTTGTCTTTCCTCATATTTTGCTTTATTGTTTTCATCTAATCATGCAGAAATCCATTAAGGATTTTCCCTCTTCTTCCCTTGCCCCAACTGCAAATCATGTAGAAATATGTTAGTTTTCATGTTCTGTATTTTTTTTTCCAAAACTTGTCACACTGCTCCCTCATAAAACGTTCTTCTTCTACTTCTTCTTCTCATTCCCAAATTCATTTGTGTGATATCATTTGTAAAACAAACTGCCCCCTCGTTTTTATTGCTTACAAATTGTGCTTCTGCCAGAAGAGTTGTTGCCATTTTAGGAGCGGCTCGATGAGATTAGTGGGACAGATAAAAGTTGGGGCCTCTGAGGCAAAGCCTCCGTTTTTTCGTAAGTTTGTAGACTTCCGTGTCTCTTTGTTTGTGCTCTCCCGGGCGTCTCCAAACTAATAAGAATGATTCTGGAAGTGTATAGAATTCGAAACACACAAATTTGAATATTGTTTGGTGGGAGAGACACACAATGACGTCAGTGTGTGATTTTGGAGGAAGTTTTGTAGCAATATGTATAATTAGTAGACAAAGAAATTATAAGAATCGGCTGGAAGCATGAATATCAAAAGAGCAAGATTTGTCTCAAAGAACACAGTGGTCTTACATTTTTGTCTTAAAGGCGCAATAGAGAACTACCGTGTCTTATTTTGACTTTAATTTCCTTATTTTTCGAGTATTTTCATCGTTTTAATTCATTTTTGTCCGATTTACATCGAAAAAAAAGCGAACTACCGAATTGTTTAGGCTTATTTTGATTTTATTTTACCCATTTTAACGATGTAAATCGGAAGAAGTGAGTTTAAATGATGCAAGTAGTTGAAAAACGATGAAAATTGTCGGAAAATTGAGAAGAATAGGCTCAAAGATACGGTAGCTCGTTTTTGCGCCTTTGAGAAAAATTTAACGGGATATCCGCTCTCATCCTTGAAGTCTATTTTTCCCTTTATATTCTGAATGAAAATCCAGAATTGTTTTGTTTTGTAAATACATCCCTCCGTGGATGGCACGGTTCAATGACTAATTCAATCAGAGCCATACAAACACACATAAAAAGCATTGTGACTAATCCACGCGAACATTCCGGGCCTGCTTTCATATTCAGTTTATTGGGGAGAGAGGAAGCTTCGTTGGTACCAATTGAGGCAAGACCTCGAGAGCTCTTTGATTTGAGGAAAAAGCTGGAAAAATTAAAGGCGCAAGGTTGAGGGATAGATGAAGCACCTAAAAGAATTCATATCTGAACAAAGTCCAATGTTAGAGGGAGCACCAAGAATTTACATTTTTATTCGATTTCGAGTTTTTTTTTCTCTGGCGAAGTTTGAAGCTGAATTTCTTTGAAAAACCAAGTTTCAGATCTTTTTTCGAGGGGAGGGAAAGCTCATTTCAATGTTTTTCAGAAAGCCTAATTTTAAATTTTGACATAACACTGAATTAGATTTTTCATAAACACCAAGATATAAACTTTGTAAAGTATTGTTTAATGTTTCGCTTTCATAGGAAACAATTAAAAAAATAAATCACTGAGTATCAGTAATAAATAAAATTTTGGAACCTGGCAGCCTACCGTATTTCCTAAAATTGAAGCCCGCCCAAACCGCCATCTTTGAGCCTATATATCTCCTTTTCTGTGAGAGATATCACAAAAAGGACAACTAACAAAATGTTGTTCATAGTTTCAAAAACATTTTGTCAGTTGACCACTTTTTGATACCTTTCACAGAAAGCGAGATATTTGAGCTCAAAGTTGAATGTTAGGGGCCCTTCTATTGGAGGTTTTACAGTATTCCTAGTATTCATACTGATATTTCATATTTTGGAATGACTTGATTTGAACCCGGTTTAGTCTAGCCATATCAACTTTTATTATTGCCAAAAATAGAGCTCTCAACTTGTCAAGAGCTCTCTGAAGATCATATGTTTTCGTTGGTCAACTTTTTGGACAACTGCTCCTTATGTCGAAGAAAGAGCAATTTGTTTACGTGTAGCACAAGAGGACTACTCTGTAATTTCAGTCAATTTCAGCCAATTTCAGTTCATTGATCTCTTGTATTTCCTCATTGTCACGAAATACACCATATAACACCTACTTTCTTTTTGTTCTTCCCAAAAGAAGAAGATGTTCTGCAAATTGCACTGACAACGAGTTCCTCATTTCTTTTAGCTTTGACCCCATTTACGCATTCTCTCATTTACATAGAAATACGTATTTGACGTGGATGCGTATTCTGATATTCTGAATTCATCAACGAGGAAGTGAAGGAATGATGAGTTTCAGTTATTTTTTCATTTTTTTTTCATCTAGTTTTTTCTTAATATAATGACAAAAACATGAAATTCTTAGAAACACTTTGTTATGATCAATGTCGAGGAATCTGAAGCCCAATTAGTTACCAAGAATTTTCAAAATTTATTAATATTATTGCTAGTGCTGCTCCCTCGGGTTTTGTTGCTTGAACTTCAGAATGTGTTCAGTGTCAGTTTCAGGCTGATTCCTTGCGAAGTTTGAAAAAAATAGGGACAGACAAAAACAAGTAGTAAAAGGAGCAGCAAACTGAATGGAATTTTCTAGGGGCCAAGAAGAAATCGAAAGGTAACCCTCAAAGATGAAGCTTCGTGTTCTATCCTGATTGTTTTCTTTTTTTCTCACTTGGGTAACCTGATATCTATCACACTTTGTAACTTTTCTTCACTTTTTTCGATGATTAATTTGAAAGATTTGGAAAAAGCGGAAAAATTGGTTGAAAATCTTGTCCTTTCTTTACCTTTTTCTTGAATTTCTTCCTTCTAGTCACATTGATAAACCGGGCTTTGAGCGGGTCCTTGCGGGCCCTGCTATAGTTTTATATAGAATCGATATTTTTGGACCAACTAAAACAGATATGATAGAACTGGACAAGTACTACAAAATGATAATATTTTGATTACTGTACCTATTTTATGAACAAAGTTACAAGTCAAAAACCATTCCAGCTAGCTTTATGACTTGTAACTTCGCTCATAGACAAGATACAATATTCAAATTAGTATCAGTTTGTAGTACTTATTGAGTTCTGTAATATCTATTTTAGTTGGTACAAAAATAATGATTCTGAAAGAAACTATGGCTCTATGAAGCCGAGAAGGCCCGCCAGCTCCGTTTACAACTACGTTTCTGGTACAATTTCCCCGCTTCTCCCGTGTGGTCTTGAGCCAAAATAAATGGTCTGTTCCGTCCATTTACAAACTTTGGTTTCATGAATCCTCAACACTTTTTTCCTTATCCGTTCCCCAAGGGGAATACGCAATATAAAAGGTCGAACAAAAAGAAACTTTAGTTTTTCTTTCCTGAGCCATTTGGGGGCGGAGCTTAGCAGAGAAGCTCTTCTCTCGTTTTCTTCTTTTCTTTTTTTTCGCCACGAGAGCGTCCGCCTTCTTTTCTCACCTTCAAGCACACTTTCCGCTTCACTTCCGACCATTTGGCCGCATGCCAGAAGTTTTTTTGTTTCTTCAAATTATGCATCATTCTTTTGAATGTATAGGATTATTTTATTCCTTCTCATTGACATCATCATCATCATCGTGAGATTCAAATTTCTCAAGTTTTTGATACAAAAAAGAAGGAGGGGATTAGAAATAATGTGATCATACATCTTCTAATACTTCCACTCCTTTTTTTTCCGAACCTATAAACTCAATTGTACTTTTCCCAATTATAAGAATGACATCTTCTTTTTTTTGAGTTCAAAGTAAACTATCGAGTTTTTTACTTTGTCAAATCCTAAGAATGTGATTCTCAATGTTCTTCACCCAAATCTCGATTCATCTTAGTCCCTTCCTGTTGCTTAAAGTACTCTTACATCGTCCAAGTATTGTTATTCTTCCATCCTGAAAGATTGATTGACCCTTTTGGGACTCTACCCGTTTTTCTCTCAGATTTGGACAGCTGATTTTTGGGCACAGAGGGCCAGCAACTTGGGAGAAGAGGGGTTGTTATTTTATAAACATATTCCAAGAATGTTCTCCTACTCTATAATTATTCTTCTCCTCTCAACAAGGCTCTTATGTTTTGAACTGATAACTTGTGTTAGTTGAGAGTAGAGTAGAGTGAGAAAAGTGCTAATTGAGAATATTTTATTTTGCTGGTACCTTTGGAAGTTTGTTGTCAAACTCCAAGTTATAACTTATAGACGTACCAAAACGGGACCCTGGCGAGCTTTTGCGGACCCTGACATAGTTTTTTTTTAAATCAATATTTTTAACCAATTAAAATGGATATGATAGAACTGGACGAGTCCTTCAAAATGATACTATTTCAAATACTGTATCTTGTCTACAAACAAAGTTATAAGCCAAAAAGCTGTGCTCGCGTGGCTCAGACGGTTTTTAGCTTGTAACTTTATTCATAGACAAGATACCGTATTCTAAATAATATCATTTTGTAGTACTCATCAAGTTCTATCATATTTAGTTTAGTTGGTTCAAAAATATGAATTCTGAAAGGAACTATGACAGGTCCCGGCTAGGGTTTGTGTTTTGGGCCGTTTTTGAGCCGTTGTTGGGTCGTTTTATCTGTAACTTTGTCCAGAGACAAGATATAGTATTTCAAAAAGTATCGTTTTATAGTGCTCATTAAGTTCTATTGTATCGCATTTGATTTTATCGTTTTTAAAATACCTATTCTAAAGGAAACTGTGCTCCCGCGAAGATCTGCCGAGGCCGGATTTACAAGTATGGTTATAGACAGGTTTGTGTTGTGATTGCTACACAAAGTAGGTCTTCCAGCTTCCAGGCATTTTTTCCAGATAATTAATTAGGTTTTCCAGTTTCTTCATTTGTTATTGTTATTGTTAGATTTCCCATATTTTTCCAGATGTTTGACCCTTTTCCGCTGATTTCTTATTTTTCTGGTCCTGAACCTTCTCTCTACCCCCAATTACCTTCATTCTCTGTCGTCATATATGTACAAACTATGATTTCCCAACCTTTCAAGCTTACAGAAAATGGATGAGAACTCAACGACGCCCGTTCCAATCTCCCCTCTACTTCAAAAGTGCTTTGACGATTCCTACTTGTTGTTGATGCCGGAAATCGAGAGGATTATTAATAATGTATGTCTTTCTGGAGGTTTGATGGTAGTGTGAGTGTGTAGGTAAACGACAACGTGAGTGGTCCTAAGATTTTTTTTTGGTGTACTTCTGCATCCTGAAAAAATGCACAAAGGGAAATCTGAAAAGACAAGTTGTGCATTTGAGGAGTGCTCACGTGGGCTCTCGTAGTAGTAAAGTTATGGAAATTCGGTCAGAGATGAAGGATAAAATAATGACGTCCGCGTAATTAGGTGAGAAGCCTCATCTGAGAAAAAAACTAGGCAAAAACATGGGTGAGGAAAAAAAACACATTCTGATGACAAAATAAGGGAAATCGGATAGTTGAGTTGATGACCCAAAAATAGAATCAGAGTTGCGAGTAACCTAAAAATAAATCAACTACTTGACAAGCACCGGATGTAAACAATCCGATCACTTTTCTCAGGATCACTAGATCACATTCTTATTATTTCCCCGGAATTTTGTCTTTTTAAGTCGAATTTCTGAACTTCAAAGGTTAATGTAAGAGCTCTAGAGAGTGCAACAAAACCATCGAATTTGAGCCAATTTATCTCGGCTCCTGTACAAGATATCGAAAAATGGTTGATTGACAAAACATTTTTGATATTATGATGAACATTTTGTTAGTTGACCACTTTTGATATCTCTTAAAGGGGCCGAGATAATTGAGCTCATAGTTTGGCTGCGACGAAGTTTGGCGGCTCTAAGGGGGCGCTAACTTTCAGCCGATTTTTTCGGGGGCTACGGTATCTTATCAAAAAAAACTTCAGTCGAATAAGTATTTACTTTGAAATTGTGTGCTAGTTTATAGTCTGTTGTTCCCATCCCAGTGCATCTGGACCATCAATCATTTCTTCTATTGCACTCTCCCAGCGTGCTTGTGTTAGTGATCTTTATAATTATTTCATCCGTTGAATCACGTATTTCAAGAATTCACCGATAAAAAATTTCTAAACAACACTGGTGTGTGATCGCTCGCTTCTACGGGACGGAAATATGATATTAGAAAAAAAAGAAGTAGAAGGCGTGAGAGATTTGTATCAGACACCCATCTTTAGAGCCATTTGAGATACATGTTGTTTTACTCTAGCCTTCAGGTTCAAGTGTTTATTCGGCTAGGGCTCCTCGTCGTGACTAATTCCGGTGCTCTAGAAGTGATCATCTCTCTGAAAAGTCATGGTTTTACTTCTTCTTCTTCTTCCCGCGGTGCCTTCTTCCTCCTATAACGCCCCGGAGAATCCAATTAATCGCGTCTCCGAATTGTACACTTGACGGACGTTTTGACGTGTTTCTTTTGGAGGGATATGTGTGCACATGTTTCGTGTGCAGTGCTGCACAAAAAGAGCACAGGAAAGTCCCCCGGAAGATGCAAGGGGCCACGTTTTTAAGAGCCACTTTTACGATGACCCGTTTTATTAGGTGCGAATAGCCCGTTAAACCACAAAGACATGAGGAATTGGGCGGAAAAACAAAACAAGTCTAGAAGGGAACTCTGAAAACTGGAAAACCTGTAATCCTCTTGAATTTGACTTAATTTTCACCGGTTCTTGAAAAAAACATAAACATGATCAAGTATGAAAACCATACTTGACTAACGGGACCTAGCACAACCATAGATGATACTGTTTGGAACACTGTATCATATGCCGGTCAACAAAGTTTCAAGTCACACAGGGTTAGACCATATAGGCCTGACTCTATCTGTTGTTTCGGCCCTCGTGGACAAGATACAATTTTCAAGTAATATCGTTCTGTAGTACTTGTCGAGTTCTATCATATCTAATTTAGTAGATCAAAAAAATTGATGCTAAAAAGAACTCATGCTGAGCCCGATTTAGGTCCGTTTTTGGCCCGTTTTCAAGTATGATGAAAACAGTCACCATGGCTTTCGTGAAATTTTGTCAGTTGATTATTTTCAAAAATTACACAAAACCGAAAAATGTTATTTACTTGTTGTTTGATGTGAAACAATCATTTAACTTGATTACTTTATTTTTCTGCAAGATAGAAAACTACCAGCACCACCAATACTCCAAACAAGAGTTTTTCCTGTTTAACATAAACTCACATGAGTTAGTCACCTTTTTTCCAACAGAAAAAAACCAGACTTCTAAAATGTATGTTTTTTCCTCTTTGAACCCACTTCAGTAGAAACCCCCCTTCTCGATTTCCTGCCTGGTCTTCCTGCTTGCGTAGTTTGGGAAAGAGGGGAAAAGATTGTGCACCCCTCTGGACCAAAAAACTTGAGAACATTTTTTTTTGAGAGTCTCTAGAAAAATAAGCGAGGAGTTCGGTCTCAAGGGAGAGCGTCTGAAAAAAAGATGAATTGATCAAATGGGACTTAGTGATGACAGAAGGAGATATGAGGCTCTGTTCCATAGAGGGTAGCAAAAAAAAGAAACGATTTTACAGTATATCTTCCCAATCCAATTCATGATCACCGTCGTTGGAAACCTCTTGACCATGACAGTACTTCTTGGCGGACACATCAAGAATCGGTTGGGATATATCTTGTTCTCTGAAAAACTCTATAATTTAATTTCCAGGGCAAATCATCTTCTCACATGTCTCGCTCTCTGCGATATACTTGTGTTTTTCATGATGCTCCCCCACTACCTCGCTTCTATTGACATGTTCGCTCGTTCGTGTGTATTCCGTCTTTTTTATTTCCACTCGAAACCCAATTTCGGAGCACTGATCAACTGGTTTTCAGCAGCGGCTATTTGGTTCGTATAGATAGAAAAAATAGACAGAGAGAAGACCTCTTTTTTGTTTAGGTTTGTTTTGGCTGTTTCTCTGGAGCGACTTCTGATCATCAAGTTTCCCTTCCGATCATTGGATGTCAACAATGTAAGGGTTTATCGATCTCCAGAAGGTTATCTAAAGGTTCTTTTCAGGGAAAACAAATTATGGTTGTCTCTGTGGGTATCATGGTTTTTACTTTGATTCTCACCAGCTATCATCATCTCTCTCATACGTGTGTTAGCTTTATTGCTTGTCACGGGACCCAGATATTGGGAAAGTGCTACTCGAACTCCGATGATATGCACGGAAAGAAATTAAATCCAACATCAGCACTTATCAAAAAGTACCTTCACATGTCTGTCTACGCGAATGCTATTTTGGCTGTGCTCCTTCCGATTTTTGCTGTCGCCGTTTTGAACATCTCACTAATCCGGCTGGTGAAACGTCGGAGATCTGAAGTAAGTGAATTTCGAAAAACAACCGGGAACAACCCACTCATTTAGCCTTAGGGCATTTCGAGTTTGCACGAAAAAGAAAACCAAATCTTTTGACTTTTCAGGAACTTCTCGTCCGAAATGCCGCCGGACCATCGAGCATGGCTGAGCAGGAAAAGAAAATGACACACACAGTGCTGGCGATTGTTTCATGCTTCACACTCACACAGGGACCATCAGCCATTGTTTTCATTTCACAGAAGATTTTCCCACCCAACCAGTAAGACTTAAAAACATACTTGAAAACCGGGTCGTGCCAAAGTTTCTTTTAGACTAAATGTTTTCAGACTAACTGAAACAGATATGATAGAACTCGACAAGTACTACCCAATAAAACTAATTGAGATACTATAGCTTGTCTATGACAACAAGTTACAAGAAATAAAGTGCGCGGGGAGGGCCGTCCGGGACGGCCGGCCTGTTTTCTTCCATGTTGTTTTGTCTGTAACTTTCTTCATAGACAAGATACAGTTTTCAAAATTTATCATTTTGTAGTACTCGTCTTGTTCTATCATTTCTAATTTAGTGGTCCAAAAATATTGGTTCAAAACAAACTACGGCAGAGCCCAGTTTTGGCCCGCTTTTGGCCCGTTTTTGATCCGTTTTCAAATATGATGAAAACGGTTTCGATGGTACTAGTAAAATTTTGTCAGTTAATTATTTTTGAAAGCTAACAAAAATTTCTAATTTGTAATTGCTTTTTGTTTGATGTTAAACCATCATTTAACTTGATTACTTTATTTTTATCCATGTATGCTCAACACAAGATTTAATACAAATATAACAATTTTTAGATACACCATCTACATCTCTGTGGTTGCCAATCAACTAGTGCTCACTGGAAAAATGCTGAACGTAGTTTTGTTCTGTTTAACATCTGAAACCTTCCGACGACGTCTATGGCAGACATGTCGCTTCTGGTGCCAGCTCATCTTCTACGCAGGACGCAGCAAAACGTCGAGGTAATCGAAGTTCTCGTAAGTCAAAACATGCACATTCACACATAGGGAGACACAGATTCTCTTTTTCGTTTCGTTTTCCAATACTAACTCTCTCTTGATAATGCGTGTATGAATGTGTATGTATATTGACTGCATTTTTTCTGTCAACTCTACCAATTTGCATAGACATAGATCACACAGACTTTCAGGTCGAACTTCACGCGTTCAAAGTCGGTCATCACTCAAAAAACGTCAATTGTCTACTCTCCATGCTCCCGAAACTTCTCTACAACCCGAAAGATCAGCAGTTCAAGTGTGATTAGAGGGGGAGCTGCTCCGTTGGTCTCAAATCCATCAACCGACAGTTTCCCAACACCACCGGCCAGCACTTCCAGAACCACCACTCAAACAACACAAGTTTAGAGAAAATCTCAATTCATTCTGTCTATTTTGATCTCTGTTCATTTTTGATCTAATTCGCGTTTTCCGGGTAAATCCATAAACCCCACTTCTGATATTTTTATCTTGATGATGAAGTAATTTATAAAAAAACAAAATTTATTCAAGGTTATAGTATAAAACAGAAACTTTTAGAAAACATATATACATTAAAAATAATAACATCATGTGCAACTAGTTGTTGTCTCATCTTGGGACAGTCCGGAATCCAAGCGAGTACGATAGGGAAGTGTCTGACGGGATATTGACAAGGTCCTTGATTTTTCTATGGAACATGTAGAACACTCGTCTTTAGCTCTTTCCGCTGGAAGCAAAGTTCCAGTATCTCTAGAAGCGCCGGGAAGTGTGTTCGCTGAACCTCGTCTCGAACGAACGGTGCGAAGAGAAGAGGATCGATCGTAGGAATTCGAACGCTGATGATCCAAAAATCGTTTGCCGAAACTACTTTGTGATAGCTGAAACCAATGGATAGTTATACTCACGAAACAAGATTTTTCTTACTTGTAAATCGGACTTCTGGCGTGCCTTTGCGGGTCCCTAGTCTATCTTAAAATCATATTTTCTAATCCAACTGAATCATATATAATAGAAATCGACAAGTACTACGAAACGATACCATTTACAATACTCTAACTTGTCTATGAACAAAGTTAGGAGCCAAAAAACATCCCTATCAAGCTTGTAAGTTACACTGTTACAGTTTTATGGCTTATAACTTCGTTCGTAGACATGATACAGTGTTCCGAATATTATCATTTTGTAGTGATCGTTCAGTTCTATCATATTTACTTTTGGTTGGTTCAAAATTATCGGTTCCAGAAGAAATTATGCCAGGGTCCGGTTTACAAGTATGGTTTTCCCCACCTTCGGAAATTTCCTATAAATTGCTTTGAAGCATTTCTGTCTAAAATGTTCAGACGACAAGCAGAATAGTATGAAATTGATAGTTTTGCCAGTTACAACTAATGAATTGGTTATGCTGAAGATTGCATAGAAAGTGTGACCTAATTCGTATTCCGAGAAGAGCTCATAGAGTGCCATGAAGGCAGATGGTCCTTGAGTGAGTGAGAAACAAATACCAATTGATATCACGGTGACTGTGACTTTCTGTCGCTGTCGCTGGAAAATAATTGGGTTTGGGAGAAGTACCGTAAAACCTGCATTAGAAGGACCGGCCCTTCTATTGTTCCAAGGTACCTCAGGAGGGCTTTACAGGGACCCTTCAATTAGAGGGGCTTTTCTATATTTAGGGTAATTTTTTCCGGAATTCTTCATCGAAAGTTTTGTGATGGGAAGCTTTTATTACAGAAGGCTCTCGGAGTGCCCTTCTATTAGAGGGAGCCTTCTAACACAGGTTTTACGGTAATAGATAATTCAGTACCACTTGACTTCTGTTCATAGTAGCTCCTCTCATTGATTCGAGTCTCGGAGAAGTCCAGTTGATTTTTAGCTGTCTTATCATCAGAACATTCAATAGAATCACAAGGACTATTGGAACAAAAACCACCTGGAGTTATTAAATTGAAAGTCATATTCGAAAGATATCGACTTACAAGGATAGCATTCAAAAAAGTAGAAAATCGGAGATACACTTTTTTCACATTACTCGGTGTCACCCAATCTTTGTTTCGATACGTTTTCTGATGCCGCATACCCGAATAATAGCAAAAATCCAAAAGTTGAGTTCCGTTACAGAACTCTTCAATCACACAGTCCCATTCGAAGTGGTGATAAACAGTGAGCAGACCAGTTGTTACAAAAATAGATGATAGTACTACTACCATTTTGCCACGTTGCCAGTAAAGTTTCGCACGAAATGGCGACCGGACGATGAGATAGCGTTCAATGGATACTGCTAGAATTAGCCTGGAAAAATATTTTTTTAAATGAACTAATTTTTGAAAATAGAAAAATGGGTACCAGATAGCTGCAGCACTCATCCAGTTAGCCACGGCGGACATGTGTTGCTTGGTATTCAGATAGAAATATCTTAAATTACATCAAAACCTGTAATAGAAGCGCCCCCAGCTGTTTGAGCTTAATTATCTCGGCTCCTGTGCAAGTTACCAAGAAGGTGTCAACTGATGAATTGTATATAATTTTATGTTAAGCAATTTATTAGTTGACTACTACTTTTTGATATCTTTGACAGGAAGCGAGATAATTAAGCTCAAACGAGAGAGTCTGGGGGCCCTTCTATTACAGGTTTTACGATACCCTATGAAAATATTTCTTACCTGAAAGTAACATCATAAGCAATTGTATCAAATGCAGCTAGACAATGTGGAAGCATTACCAACAGAAATGCCAAGTCGCAGAATGAGACTGCAGCCAGCTGAAAATCGCCAATTTCAATTTAATTTCAGCTAAAAAAGAAGCAAAAGTTACCATATCGCTGGCAATATTGGGTACTTCATCGCTGGCAAGTACCCAAAGATTTAGCGAGTTTCCAAGAAGGCCTAATGCGAATTGAAGTGGGAAGACGTACTGCCAGATGAATCTGCAAAAAAGAAATTCCACCTGACTCGATCTGAAGTTAAAATCTCACCGACTCAAAGGATCTCTAAAAAACAAAAGTTGTGCTTTTTTCAAGCATGCCATACAAGAATGATTGAGTGGAAATTTGAAATCGAAATTCAGTGGGGGGAAACCGAAAACAGAGGAGAAGAGGGAAAAGATGCGAAGCGCTCACACAGAGTCTGTATTTGCATTTTTCGAGACGATCGAATTATGCAAAAACTGCATATCGAACAAGTGAATCTATGACCACAGTAATTTGGTAAATTCCAGGGCTGAAAATGGACTGGATTATGAAATCTGAACGTTATTTTTAGAGGGAAAAGTTCATGAACATGGGATGGGACTATCAAAACTGGAGAAATAAATTCAAACTTGTAATAGAAGGGCTTCCTATCTTTCAACTTTGAGCCAATTTAAAACGGTTCCTATCAAAGATATTAAAAAATGATCAACCGATAAATTGTTTATCATAATATCATTAGTGTTTTGCAAGTTGACACATTTTTGATATCTTGCCTTAGAATTGAGGTAATTGAGCTCAAACATAACAGTGTGGGGGTTCTTCTATTACAGGTTTTACGGTGATATAATTTAAGATATTCCTATCTGAATAGTAAACAACACATGTCCGCGGCGGCTAACTGGATAAGTGCTGCAGCTATCTGGTAACACTTTCCTACCTTCAAAAATTAGTTTATTTTAAAATTTTTTTTTCAGGCTAATTTTAGGGGTATCCATTGAACGCTATCTCATTGTTCGGCCCTTATTTTGGACCAACCTTTAATGGCAACGTGGCAAAATGGTTGTAGTACTATCTACTATATCAATCCAAACTCGGAACCTCCACTCCCGAAGAATGTGTTATTTGGTTCCATTCACTATGCGAAGGTTAACAGATCCCACACAACGTGCGTCCTGCAATATTCCAGTCTAAACTTCTGATCGAGACCTTTCATGTATACTTAAAACCTTAAAAAATAAACTATTCCATTCCCCTTTCGAAAATGCTATGTTGATCATAGCCCTTATTCACTTGTTGTTTGATTTCATAATTTTCAGTATGTTTTCCAACTTAAAGGGCAAAACATCAGAAAGTACTGGAAGTATATCCACAGGGACGCTGAAATGCTAAATAACTTCAAAATTGTACTTTCATGCCTTCTTTGCATACGGAACTGATTTAAAGTGAAATTTTCAGTCATTTAACATTGCAGCTTCTCTGTGGGTATACTTCCAGTACTTTCTCATGTTTTGCTTTTTTTTTAAATATTCAAATGAAGTTTTGAAAACTTTGTATTTTTGCTCCTTTTCTGTTTTTGGTTCATGAGTTCCTATTTTCTCTGGAAGTTTCCTTTCTATTTTTTTAACAGACTATGTGGGCGCTACTACCATTTTTGGCAAAAAAATAGACAAAAAATAGCTGATATTAGTTAATTAGATTCATATCACCGTAAAAACCCTAATAGAAACCCCTGACTTTTAACTTTGAGACCATATATCTCGTTTACTACATAAGATATCAAAAAGTGGTCAGCTAATAAATTATTTTTGATATTATTACAAGCATTTTGTTAGTTGACAACTTTGTGATATATTTTACAGGAACCGAGATATATGCCCTCAAAGTTGATAGTTAGGGTGGCATTCTATTAGTTAGAACGTTCGGAACAAACCTCGGAGCTTTTAAAATCGAAATGTTCCGAAATTCTGATATTTCAAAAAATTTGAAATTCGGAATATTCTGAAATCCCAAAATTTTGAAACTCAGAATTTTTGAGATTAATAAAATTTCCGAAAAGGCCATCCCTGGCCAATGAACTCTAATTCTTCGCATTCCATCTGACAATCTAAGATTGAGTTATATTCCATCAGACAATCTCAGATAGTTTGGTGAAACATCACAATAAACTTGGATTCTTAATGTTCAGTCCGTTATACCGTAAAAGTAATAGAAGGGCATAATATCATGATATCAAAAGAGTTTTGTCAGTTGACACACTTTTGATCTCTATAGGAATTGAGATAATTGAGCTCAAACTTGACAGTGTAGGGCCCCTAAATTACAGGTTGTACGGTAATTCGTTCTACTAAACCTACTGCAATCCGAGAACTTTGTATCCTCCAGAATTCTTTCTCTGCATCCCGGACACTTTCAATGCTACAAGTCTCCATTCTCATTAGTAGAATTCCTAGCAATAACAATCTCTTTTTGTCACCATCATCCCATTGATTCTAGTACATTCTGAGAATAGAGGCTGGCACATGAATCATATGATTCAGTTCTTATAGTCCCTATGGACTGTCTCTTCTTTACTATTTCGCATAGTGATATTTCCTGTTTTTCTTCTTTTTTATTCGGCTGCCTTCAAACCTACCTACTCACACCCTTCATTTAGGAGCCCTGTGATTAGTCGCTGTATCGCTCGCTATTTCGTTTTTCCTCGTCACGAGCAAGATAGAAATTTTTGGGACAATGTTCTCTTCATATGGTCCTTACACTGATTACCTTTCGATGTGTGTCGTCGTGATCGCAGAAGTTATTCTAGGTAACAAAATATAATACTTTTTCAAACGAATAATCGTCTTTTGCAGCGGTTGCGGCAATATATCGTGCTGTTAACTTCGTGATTCCGAGTAAGAACATTGATCGGAATGATTGTAGAGTGATTGGTGAGTTTGCATACTTCACTAAGCTATCTAAAACACTTCCTGATTTTAGTTATTGCCCTCGCATTCGAAAATGTTTATGCATACGTTGCTATGTTCCACAGTATATTGATGATGCGGACTGAACCAATGAGTTAGTTGGAATACTTGCTATAATTTCTATTTTCGGTTTTACAGACTTAGATTGCTTTGGCAAATACAACATGGGCATCGGTGGTATCGTATCAATTTTGATCGGTAATTGAATATTGGTCTTCTACCAGTATACTTGCGACCGGGTCTTTGCCGGGCCCTTCGGGGGCCTTGCCATATTTTTTTCAGAAACAATGTTTTAGACCAACTAAATTAGACATGATAGAACTCTGCGAATTTTACAAAATGATATTATTTGGACAACTGTGCCTTGTCTATGAACAAAGTTACAAGTCATAAAGTGGCTGGGCCTTGTCGCGTATACCCGGGCCTGGCTTCTGTTTTTTGTATGTAACTTTGTTCATAGACAAGACACAATTTTCCAAATAATATCATTTTGTAGCATTTGTCGAGTTCTATCATATCTGATTCAGTTGGTCTAAAAATATAAATTTTAAAAGAAACTATGGCAGATCCCGCGAAGACCCGGCAAAGTTCCGGTCGCAAGTATGTCTACCAGCATATACTTACTTCAGCTATTGTTCCCCTGATTTTGGCTAACGATCGGTTAATTGTTTCTCTATTTGGAGTATGGTATTACAAGCAAACATCCGGCTTCATAGTTTTCATAGGTTTGTGGCAATGTTGTTTTTTGCTTTCATTCTTTGGTCAATTTTAGGCTTGGTGCTGGGACTTTCAATTGCGGTTTTGATAAACTATTACAAAATAGCAACTGGCGTCTATGGGCTGGACCAAATTTCCGAATTTTGTTTAAATTATGGTTTTTAGATACTGCTTGTTGCTTTTTTAAATGATAATTTTTCAGATGTGCTTCAACCAGAACTCCAGTTAACATTTCTCCAAATTAAAACATGTAATATATTGTTGGCTGGAGTGGTGTATGCAGTAGTAATCTTACTCTACCACTTTGTATGTTTTTGTTTGAACGTCCAACTTTTTTTTTCAAAACAATTTACAGCATCTTGACACGAAAATTCTAAAATGCGATTCTGTAACCAAGTCACACATCAGATCAGCATACCAGACAATGGGATGTTTGGTCTATTCATCGTTCGTCTTTGTTCTTCTGCCAGAGTATATTCTTTATTATTTTCAAGGGTTCTGGACGACAACTATTTTCCAGTGCATCCTTCTCATAAAAGTAACACTAAAGGGAAACGAAACTAAAAACTGACTATCTGTTTCAGCCTGCACTCACCGTCCAAGTTACTAAAGGACTCCACAAAGAGTTCCGTGAGGCTCACAAAAAGGCTCAGACGAACGTCGTTTCAGTGGCAGTTGTGACCAACAACGTCGAACTAAACAACATAACTGTACGAGGAACCAGCACAACAATGTACCAAGCGACATCCACTGCATAACTTTCTCATAAAAATCACCGTACTACCGTCTCTTCAATCTCTTTCGACTTTCTCATAAGCTTTACTCTCATCTCATTTCATCGTATACAGTTTACCTACTACGTTTACAATTTCTCTGCAATTCTATAATCAATGTCATTTATTTGTAAAAGATTTAATCATAACTAAAGTAAAGTGATCTAATACCAATACTCGTAAAATGTTGAGATTCGGAGAAAAGGATTCGAAAAATAAACCATGTAAACAACCAACAATTATGCAGTAGATTCCTGGAAGCACCGGGTTCAATAAAATCATATAGGATTTTGCTGACAGGATGAAAATTACGGGGCTTCGGGGATGGAAGATTTGAGAATACCCAGAGAAAAATAACAAATCAAAAAAATTTTCCAGTACAAAAACGGACCGAAATAAAGGTGTCTTTCAGAAATCGACAAATAGCTGAAAAAGTAGGAATTTTCAAATATTCTGTGAACGCACAGTTTTTAGTCTAGTTATGTTTTAAACGCTCCAAAATTTTTCAAATGATTGGAAGCTTGACAGCCGTACTCCAAACTCTTGAAAATGGTCAAAATGGCTGACAGCACTGCTAGTACAACTGTACATATTAGAAGCTGACGAATCCGACACACTTTTAATTGAACTTTGTGTCTGTATGAACTCTAAGTCGTTCAATGTTTACTGCAGCTATTTCACTTATCAGTAGCTCGCTTCCATCGTTATCAACCGTTTTTCTGGTAGTTGAAAAGTCGCGAAGAGACTCTTCAAACCACACAGTTTTCCTTTCATATTTGCCTTTTTTTCCCTCAACAACCAAACATTTTTTCAGATGATTTCTCAACTCATTCTTGTTTCTCTTATGATCTCATTGGCTACATCCAAAAGCTGTCTCGCTCCAGCTAGTTATATACTTGGATCGTAAGTCTCCACTAATATCCCATAAATTTCGAAATTCAAAGTTTGAATACTTTCTAGATGCTTCACCTTTATCAATACGCCAATGTCGTTTTGGGAAGCAAACTCCTATTGTGAGTACCACTCTAATAACGCGTGGTCCTATTTGGCTCTGGTGGAGAGTCCGGAGCAATCGATATGGTTAGCAAGTAAGTGGACGAAACGAGTTTTCAGATGACGTACTGACCATTTCAGAATCTGCAACCATGTTCACCAGCGAAAATTATTGGATTGGTGTGTACCGTCCAAGTGTGATTGATAACTTCCGGACGATATTAAATCGATATCTAACGTTCCAATACTTTGCTAATATCAATCCTTCAATGAATTATGCCGTTGGAAGGAAGAGTGATGGGAAATGGGAAACTCGACCAGAAGAAGAACGTTTTCCATTTGTTTGTAGTTATAAGCCCTCTGAGCAAACCACACCATCGACTTGAATGCTAGCATTTTTTCTGAAAATAAAGTGTTTTTTTTATCCTTGATGTTCTTTCAATCGAAAATCTTGGCAGGCGGGGCTCGTTACGAGGCCAGGCCCCTAAATGTGATACTGTAGAAGCGAAGTAGAATTCAGCGAATTCAGGGAGGTTTTATAAACAAAATTTTGATTTTTGGTTAAAATATGATTGCAAGCACTTTCAGAATCTGTTTTTTTAAATTGAAACTCTGAGAAATTGCGAAAAAACAAGGAAATTCGGAAATATTACGAGTTTGCCGCGCATCCGCGCAGATCAAAACAAGCGACGTCTTCCAAATTCTTAAGTGTCACTTTTTTTAATGTGACAAAACTGTGGGATAACATGGTTTTAATTATTATTCGATAGTACTCCAAAAGTTGCCGTAAACCTGTAACAGAAGGGGTCTCTAGCTATTAACTTTGATACGATTTTTCTCGGTCCCTGTGAAAGATATAAGAAAAGTGCTAACTGGTAAATTGTTTTTCATAATACCACAAAACTGTCATCAGTTGACGCAATTTGGATATCTTGCATAGGAGCTAAGACAAATTAGCTCAAAGTTGATAATGTGGGGGCCCTTCAGGTTTAACGGTCTGTGGGGGAAAATCATCACAGATCAAACCCTTTTTCAACAGTCAAACAGAAGACTACGAAGTCGTGTAAACAGTTCAAGCAACATTAATTTCGTTTCCTTCATTTCCTAACTTATATTACAAGTATTTCCATCACTTATCAGTAGCAGGAGCACACCTCTCATCCAAATCTTTATCAGGAAACTTCTGGGAGTTGAAAAGTCATGAAGAAGCTCTGCAAACCGCACAGTTTTCCGTTTTTCTCCGATACCCAAACAATTTCAGAGAAGTTTTTTTTTACATTTCAGATGATTTCTCAACTCATTCTTGTGTCGCTCATGATCTCCTCGGCAGTCGCCGACTGTCAATATCCAGATAGATTAATTGATGGATTGTGAGTCTTGGCAGGTTCTCAATCCCGAAATTTCGAAAACATTCCAGATGTTTCACTTTTGTGGATATACCAAAGACTTTTTGGGAAGCCGATGAATGGTGTTCTTACAAAGCTCCAAATGCGTGGTCCTACTTGGCACTAGAAGAAAACGATATTCATGCGATTTGGCTAGCTAGTAGGTTCAATGAGTTTAGATTGTTAGTTAAATTAAAACTTTTCAGAAACTGCTGAATTAATGTTTACTTCTAAATATTTCTGGATTGGTGTATACCGTCCCACTGCCAACGACAATTTCCGAACAATTTTGAACCGATATCTCACATACGAACACTTTGGACAGATCAATCCATCAATGAACTATGCTGCTGGAAGGACGAGTGATGGAAAATGGGTCACTCTACCCCAAGAACAAAAACTTCCATTTATTTGTAGCTACAAACCAACCGTAGAAGCTTTGAAAAGGAGGTTGCCATAGAACATCTGAAATTCCTTGTACATATATTTTTTATGTTGTCTGAAAATTAAGTTCTTCTTATTTACAATGTCTTCGTAAGTAATTCAGATGCCCAACTGATTTCATACAACTGCCACGAATCATGTCAGGTTACTTCCTCTTTTATCAGTCCTATGACCCTCGTAGAAATACAATTGTGCATTCAATTTTTGTGACCTCAATATTAGCGGGAAAATGGGGTTTATTTGTATTTACAGGGTGGGGTTGGTGCCAAAATTTGGCGCCATGGCGCACGCGACTGATGGGCTCCTCGCATCTACAGTATTCTCCATATTGTTTATCAACATTTTTTTAACTATTGTGCGAAGTTTCAAGTCAATATGTTGATCTTGCGGCGGATGGCACCGTTTATCGCATGTTTTAAACAAGGGCAGACTCGTTTTACAATGATAAAGGTGTCAAAACCAACAAGGAAGTTCACTTTTTAAAGGTCTTGTATTCCATGGACTCAAAATCACTTCATGGAAGATCATTAGGAGTTTCCAAATGGACGAAGCTCTGGTCGACATCACCGGGATACCGTATTTTCTCTAATAGAAGCATGGGTTTCTATTATGCAACCTCTTTCTCAGGGTGGGCTTCTATTAAAGGGTTTCTATTTTTCAAGGATTTATTTTCAAACAATTGTTTATTTAAAAAATCAGAAATTTGAAAATTCGGAACGTAAGATTTCTGAAATTCAGTGTTTTGGAGAATTCAAAATTTTCATTCTGAAATTCTAAATTTCAAAATTCCGAATTTATGAAATTCTGAGGTTCCAGAATCTCCAAATTCAAAATTCAGGAATTCTGAAGTTCCGGAAAAAATTCTGAAATTCAAAAAAACGGAAATTCCGAAATTTAGAAATTAGAAAATTCAGGCTTCTATTAGAGATATTTTTTTCTATTTTTCAAAGAATCTCGCGGGATGGGCTCCTATTAGAGGAAATACGGTAACTCAAGAGTGGTTCGAGCTTTTTCATTCTGCTTCTGAGCTTATTTTTTGAGATTTCTGACCCTGAAACCGCTCAATAAAATATTTTAAAAGGGTTCGAACTCGGGTTTCCTAGCCTCAAAATATCAACTGAAAAATCCATTAGGCCATTCAAGCAATGTTATGAAATATGGCTAGAAACAGGGCTTTAGTCGATTTATATGGTTTTGGGGGTTTCAAAGCTGATGAATCCAGTTTTAAAAGTAAATTCAATCACTGTTTTTATAGGTAACACTTTTTGGGCGCGATAGCTGAACACATCATTGTACACCGTTACGTCAGAATGCATACCTTGACTCCAAAAAAAAACTCGGAAAAGTTAGAAAAATGCTACAGCTCATTAAAAAAGAGTGTAGCAGGAACATAATTTTGTATGCGGTGTGCAATAAACCAATACAATTTTTTTCCTGGAAATCCAAACAGGGCGTTAACCTGACTTCTTATCTCCTGAAATGAGCGATGGAATCTTCTTGTTAAAAAATTGTTTAACTGTATTGAATAGACAAAAGTCAAAGTGTTTGAGGTAACAATTTCAACATTGTTTACTCTTTGCGGTGCTCTTTTAATCGTTTTAAATGCCCTATAAAACTCTTCCGTCCAGTTATTATCTTTAATTTTTTCAAACCCACAAGTACAAAATTCATTCTTCTTAAAGATTTTTTCCAGAGTCACATGAAGTGTGTCTTTTTAGCTCTACTTGTACAAATTGTTGCTTCTCAATCCTGTTATGAAAACTCGGATAGATTAATTGGCTCACGGTATGATAGGATAGATTTGACCTCAATGGTTTAAAAAATTTTCAGATGCTACAAATTCATTAACCAAAAGCTATCCTATCAAGATGCTCGAAACTGGTGTCACAGCAGAAGTTCTTATCTAGCTACCGTTCCAGATCTCTATACTGATACTTCTTGGCTTGTGAGAACTGGTTCTTTAATTCCTCTTACTTTTGTTTTCAGCAACCGCTCGTACGTTATTCAACGACAATGAAGGCAAATTCTGGATTGGATTGAGCCGATCCAATAACAAATGGACTTGGGACGACGGAACCCCATACGTTTGGAACAACTGGGAAATTCAAAATTCCCAAAACTACGCTACGGAAAGCATAAAAAATGGAAAATGGAATGGTTACACCCCGGACACTCGCCTCAACTTTATTTGCTCTTACTTCCCTAACGGAGGTCCTACTCCAGAAGCATCTACTATTTCAGGCGCATCTAGTACAAATGACCCTGGAACGACTTCTTATGTAACACCAACAGGTACTTTTTTTTTGAAATAAAGAATCTAATCTGAAATATAAATTGTGAGTTCATTAGTAAGAGTTATTTTTCGAAATTGGATTTTTTCTGTATTCTGCTATTTCTATTATCATTATTATCGCCGATGGGATGCTCGTGAGTTTTCGAAAATATATAGTTTCAGCAGATCAGCAACTTTTACTTCCCTTCTTATCAGTTAGTTACAATTTTCAATTCCCTTAATTTTTAGTTTTGATGTCATCTTCACCTTATCACTTGGATTTTTATTACTTGTTTTATGATTCTCGTGTCACTCCTCCTCCACCGTTTCAGTTTGTTTCAATATTTTCACATATACTTTTCCGAATATACATCATACAATTTTCAGATGGCTCTAAAAAAACTATTACAGTTGGTCTCCTTGATTGGAGCAGTCTTCTCAGCTTGCTTTGATAATGGAGACAAAGAAATTGGGGGCAGTTGCTATAAGTTTGTCCCACAGAAGCTGACATTTGCGGATGCACAGTACTGGTGTCATTATCAAAATCCAGTGACTTCGTCCTACTTGGCATATGTGCCCAATCAGTTTACGAGCAACTTCCTAGCATGTAAGAATTTAAAACTAAAGTCGAAGTACAATAATGAATTTCAGCCTACGCCCGCTCAGCGTTTGAAACTGATGATGGAAACTTTTGGATTGGTCTCAGCAGGAAAAGTTCGAGTAGTCCATGGATATGGGATAATGGACAACCATTAGGGTTCTCAAATTTCGGAGGACAGCTTGGGCAGAACTTTGCCGCGGAAAGTATCGTTAACGCGAAATGGAACGCCTTTGGAATCAATGACAAGAATTTCTTTGTCTGCAGTTATGATCCACAAGCACCACCAACATTTGGCCCTCCAGTAACTGATATTCCAGTGTCCACAGTTCCAGTGTCCACAGAAGTACCTCCAACGCCTACAGGTATTTTTCTTTGAGCTTTCAAATTTGATACTCGGATGGTGGGTGCTTCTGATATATGTCTTGGTAGATGCATTAGTGCTTATAAAAAATGAATTCAGATTTCCAAATGGTACGCATCAGGCAAGTTTTTAATAAAAATTGCAGCTGTATTCGAGTTTTAGGCTCTGAGTAGAGTTGGAAGCGATATAGGAGGTACATGCTGGATCTAACCTGAATTTTTATTGTTTCACATATTCACTCGACTCAAATTTTGAAATAAATATTATTTTCGTTTCTGTAACTTGCAAAAACAGTGTGATGCATGATTCAAAAATATATATATATGCTTTGAAAAACACATTTCCAATCATCCCATACTGTTAAGTTTAAGCTCAATTATCTCTACTCCTTTAAGAGTTATCAAAAAATGTGTCAACTATTAAAATATTTCTGATATCATGATAAAAATTTGATCAATTTACAACTTTTTTTAAACTGGAACCGAGGTAAATTGGTTCAAAGTTCAAACTAGAGGGCCCTTCTATTACAGGCTTTACTGTATGAAAAAATTTCTGAAACCACAGTTTGGATTTTAAAAACTCTTTAGACCATAAATTTGTACAAACGAAGGGTCCAGGTCTGAAATTAGGATATGTACCGTAAAATTCTTAATGACATTAGTAAATCGATGGAGGACAATGCTATATTTAAATACTTTATTCAAACAAATCAATATTCATTCGAATAATAATAATCAAGGCTCTACTGTTTTTCTAATCCTCCTCCTTTATTGAGTTTTAGCCATCTAATCCTTCTTGGACTTGTCAAGCAAGGGTTCTTCCTCATTACCCTTTTTCGGCTCGTCCTTTTTCGAGGATTTCGAAGACTTCGATTCCTCGGATTTCGCCGATTTTGAAGATTTCACATTTGGCTTCTCGGATTTGTCCTTTCCGGATTTTTTCTCTGACTTCTTCTCAGATTTCTCCGATTTCTCTCCATGATTGCTTTTGGGTTGAGTTGGTTCCGCCTGTTCCTCATGTTTCTTCTTCTTTTCCAATTCTTGTTCCTTCAGTTTTTTAGATTCGTTGTATCTTGACAAGCTTCCCAGGAACATGATAACTAGCAAAGAGCACACGGCAAGCCCCATTAGAGCAATGACAGCTTTCAGTGTCCGACGCTTCATACGCTCCTCTCTTTCAGCTGAAATTAAATGTTCAGTAGAGCGAATTCGGCAAAATCCCACCTTTAAAAGGATATTCATCTGGAATCCGACTCTGTGAAGACATAAAGTGTGGGGTCAGCTGGGCAAGAAGACGATGAGCCGATGTTAGATTCTTCCACTCGGGAACTGGATCTTTTGAAGTTTCAGAAGACGTGAACGCAATCTTTGCCACAAAACGAACGTCCTCATCCAATTCATCTACCAGGTCCGAATTTTCGGGATAGAACTGAAATCTTTGTGTTAAGAATAGATAAGTTTCCATTCAATACCGTACATTAACAATTGCAAAACTTTGCCGTCCCCATTCCGGATCACAATTGAGTTGTGGATCGTCGTGTTTCTTGACAACCAAAATGAAGTCAGCTCTCATTTTGGCCCGATCCACACTTCCCACGAATTCACAAACATCCCCGGATTGATATGTGAATATTTGAGGGGCTTTTGTGTGATTCTTCGCCAAAAACAAGGCAATCTGAAATCTATATTCCACGTCTTCTTCCTCTTTGAGGCTTCCTTTGAAAATAGCTTACACTATCAATCGTTGTCTCCCACGATGTATCATTGCCATCGCTTTTTCCAATCTTGCAGATTTTGATGGAACCGGAATTACTCTGCGAATAACATGGGCTGAAAGAAAGGTGTCTGGAACTTCTTGAAGTTTTAAAAACCTTATTGCCAAGAACAGTAGAAATCCGAAGGCTATTATCATAACAGTCGATTTCGAATTCTCTCAATAACTTTTGTTTTGAACTTGGGTTGGCTAGTGTTCCTAGTTTCTTTTTTCTGATGAGTCATCTGTGATGGCTGAACATTTTTGAACAGTTCACGCGCACAACGTATTTCTCTAATTGAAGCCCAACATATACGCACACTTTAGGCTCAATTATCTTGGTTCTTGTAAGAGAAATCAAAAATTTGTCATCTCACGCTTTCCCACAGAACAATTTCGAACTGCAAATTAATTTTTGATCTACAGACAAAAAGTTTGGCGCGATCACAATTGCAGGTCTAAAACCATAATTTCAGAATTTTTTATCTGATTTTGTGGAGTTCCAAGATGATTCAAATGGTTCTTAAAAAATTAATTAGTGGTTATAGATGAATTTTTAATTTGTCTGATAAAACTTTTTTTATAATCAAAAAACAACGCAAAAATGCTATTTTGTGCAGTTTCATGAGGTTTTTGAATTATAAAAAAGTTTTATCAGACAAATTAAAAATTCGTTCATAGAAAATGTAGAGAAAATAATTGCGGTTTTTTTGAGCTATAGAACTCCTAGAAATGTCAAAAACTGAAAGAGGAGATAGATTTTTTTTCTGTAAAAAACTTTCAAAATGACCATTTTTGACATTTTTTTCTTCCGGAAAAGGACCATACATGAATCTATAACCACTAATTAATTTTTTAAGAATCATTTGAATCATCTTCATTCTCCACAAAATCAGATAAAAATTCTGAAATATGGTTTTAGACCTGCAATTTTGATCGCGCCAAACTTTTTGTCTGTAGATCAAAAATTAATTTGCAGTTCGGAATTGTTCTGTGGGAAAGCGTGCATCTGATAAAATGTTGATAATTTTATGAAAAATATTTTAATTGACGAAATGTTGATATCTTTTACAACCGAGATAATTGAGCACCAAAGTGCTCGTGAAGGGTGTGTTTCTGTTAGAGCAGTTAGGGTATTGTAAAACGTTTTTTTTTTAAATTCGAAATCCTCGAAAAAGTTTTTTTTTGGGAGATTTCGGTTTTTTATTGGATCTTTTCGTGATAATAATAGAAAATCGCATAACCTTTAAAATTTTTTGGAGGAACAACAATTTCTGTTAGAAGTCTCTTTTTAACGTATTTTGTGTCACCGACCAAACTCTTTCGATCTATTCTGGTGAAAAACTAAGTTAATAAACATCAACTTCATAATTTGTTTTTTTTACATTAAAGTTGCTTAGAAACAAGAAACTGATGAACGGCGGCTGATCGGCGGATGACCAGCGGGCGATCTGCCGGCAGGCGGATTAAGAAATTCTATCATTTGTCTGGATCAACGCCTTCCGAAACTTCTGAGAAAATTGGAAAAATAATTTCTGATTTTTTTTCTTCAGAAAAGCATATTTGAAAATTTTTTTTCAGTATTTTTCGAATTCAAAATTTGTTTTTAAAATACTTTCTTCATTGGTTTAAATTTCAGAATATATAATGTGAAATAAAAAAATAAAAAAGGGAAATAAAAATACAAATAAGATGTGTTTGAACCAAAAAAACGATATATAAAATTTCAAAATGGATAAAGCATAGAAGTATTAAAAAACAAAATTCAAATTTGAAGGGAGGTTGCCAAAGGGGATTATATCTGAAATAGAACTGTTTGTAGAGAGGGGAAGTGTAGACAAACAGGAATTTGATTGGGGCGTATGTTGTGGATATTATGAAATGGAAGGAAAATTGATGGAAAACAAGTCGAGACAGTCGACAATTGATGGCGAATCCACGAATATTTTCTCAATTTCCTGGGGATATGGAATAAATATGCCTTCCTGAGAGTACTTCTCGTCTGAAAAAACAGGTATATTTTTTTGAGACAAATCACAATTGAAACTTTTTTGATAGGACTTGCAAACTTCGAAATTATAGAAAAACATTTATTTTCATAGTTGACACTTTTTCAATATTCATAGGTCCAAAAAATGAGGTATTTTCAGCGGTTGAATTTTAAATGAAGTCTTGTCAACGGAAAAAATTGAACTACATTTTTCATCTATGCATTCTGAAAATTCTGAGCTAATTTAATGAGTTTCATCCTTTTTTAAGCTAATTAACAAAATAATTCGAATTTTGACAAAAAATAATGAAAAAAAAACAGAAAAGTGTAGCAATCGAATTTTCAAATCTTCCATTTCGGTTTTCAAAAAAACTTCCAAACGTTTTCCTTACCTCCGGCATTTGTTTTTTCAAAATTCCTTTCCCTCGGAACTCCATTTGGGACATTCGCTTCCTAATTTCCACCAACATCTTCTCCAAATCGTCCTTGTGAGCTCGATTGGCAATAGTTTCGCACAGCAGTTGCACATGGTACGAGCCTAATTGTGCATCTGCAAACGCCAAGTTGCCATGGCTTGTGGAGCAGCAGAGGAGAAAGTCCGACGTCATCGGGATCGCTCTGGTTGTCTGAAAAAAGTCCAAGTTTGAAATTTTATCAAAGTTTAATTTTTGTGATTCTCAGAGTTTTAGAATTTCAGAATTGCAACATTTCTAAATTCCAGAAGTTCTGAATTTTGCAAAATCAATATTTATGTTTTCCTGAAATTCTACACCCCCGAAGTTCTGAAAAATTGAGATTCTGAAATTCTGAGATTTTGAGATTCTGAAATTTTGGAATTTTGAAATTCTAAAATTCTGAGATTCTAAGATTCCAAAATCTTGGAACTCGGAAATTTTGAAATTCTGAATTTCAAATTTTTAGAATTCGAAATTTCAGAGAACTTCAGATTTTGGAAAGCCCAAAACTTCATAAATTCAGAATTCGGAAAAATCAAAGTTTTGAACTTTTTTCTAAAATTCTAAAATTTGAAGGTTTCTGACTTTCAGAAAGTCTTCTAGAATTGTAACACACCTTGCCAACCTTCTCTTCATGCTTTTCCACCACCAAACCCATTCCTGAACGTACCAATCCGTGTGCTGACCTTGGCTCCTCCACCACACAGTACCCTGCATCCTGACTTTCTGAAAATCAAGATTTAAAGATCTTCGAAAAATTAGGAAATATGTCAAATCAGAGATTAAGATAGGAATTTCGATCTTGTAGGGACCTATTCATGAAAATCTTTTTTTCAGATGAAAAAGAAAAACTCACCACCACGGCAGTTTTCCGTGAAGATGATTTTCGGCTTCCCAGCCAACCGAGGAGCATTCTGAGGGCTGAGGAGCGAAAAAACTTGTTCCACATTGAACTCTGCATTGTCAGATCCAAGTATTCCATTGGCATTTCCATGGGTGATAAAAATAATAACAGCTGAATCGCCATGAGAATCAGATGATCCAAAATACTTGACAGTTTGTTCAATTTCCTGAAAAAATTATTTTTTGAGTTATGCAAACTTTATTAGTTTAAAAAGAAACCTTTTTAGCCTGACAATTTAAATTTGTTTTACATTTCTAAGAAATCTCAGATTAATCGAACAGTTTCAATTGTGTTTCCAGATCCTCAAAAGTTTTTAACTTCAAAATTTCAGAATTTGGAAAAATCAAATTGTTGAACTTTTTTCTGAGATTCTGAGATTCTGAGATTCTGAGATTCTGAGATTCTGAGATTCTGAGATTCTGAAACTCTGAGATTCTGAAACTCTGTGGTTCTGAAATTCTGAAATTCTGTGGTTCTGAAATTCTGAAATTATGTGGTTCTGAAATTCTGAAATTTTGTGGTTCTGAGATTCTGAGCTTCTGAGATTCTGAGATTCTAAGGTTCTGAGATTCTGAGATTCTAAAGTTCTGAGATTCTGAAATTTTGGAATTTTGAAATTCTGAACTTCTATGATTCTAAGATTCCAAAGTCCTGTGATTCTAAGATTCCAAAGTCTTGTGATTCGAAGATTCGGAAATCTTGGAACTCTGAAATATTTCCTGAATTTCCATTTTTTCGAAATTCGGAAATTCAGATTTTGGAAAATTCAAAATTTCAGAAATTCAGAATTCGGAAAAATCACATTTCGAACTTTATTTCGCACTTCCAACTATTTGTCTAGATCCTCAAAAGTCTTTAATTTTAGAGTTTCAGAATTTCAGCATTTAAAAATTTCAGAAATTTTGAAGAAGAATTTTTTGAAATTCACACGACAATACAAAACTTAGAAGTTATGGAATACTAGCTAAAAATTGCCCAATCTTTCTAAATCTATCTGACAATCCACAACAAAGCAAAAAACCATCTTTCTTTTATGACATTTTCGAGCATAATCCAATTTACCTTCGCTGTCAAATTTTCAGCTATTTCAAGTTTAAAATTCAGACATTTAAACAGTCTCGATAAATTATGGACATCTGAAGTCATCGATGGCTCATCATCAATTCTTCCAATTTTGATGATTAGGCATCTCGACAACCGTGAGTTTTCGTAGGCAGATTTCCTGTCTTTTAAATTCAAAGGCTTTCTTATTAAATCCAATTCCGCAAATTGGTATCTTCACAGCAGTTCCATCGGTGGTCTGGAAAAAGCATTAATACAATTTTAAAATTTTGAAACGAAAATTGAGATTCAAACTTGGAGTTCAATTATCTCGATTCCTGTGAAAATTATAAGAAAGTTGTCAACTGATAAAGTGTTTATCATAATATCACCAGTATTTTATCAGTTGACACATTTTTGATATCTTTTATGGGAACTGTGATAAATTGGCCCAAAGTTGAAAGGTTGGCTCAAAGTTGAAAGGCTAAAAAAAGTTGAAAAGCATCATAGTAGAGCCAAAAGTTTCACCTCATTTCCCTTATTTTGCTGATTCTTCGCCACATTTCCGATTTCCAGGAGACGTTGTTCCGGTTTCCGACCCGTCAACTTTAGAAATTCCTCCAAATTCTGGGTCCTCTCATTAACCTTCAGACAAAATTCCTGAGTTTTCCTCGCTTCCGATTCCTTATCCAAACCCAATCGCTTTCTCCGTTTGATCCGTTTCTTTTTCGTCAATCGCCTTTTCTTCACCGCCGGCTCCACTTTTTCCATTTTCACCAGTGCAAGATATTACCTAAAATTAATTCCCTTTCTCACCAGTTTTTCGAAAAAAAAAGAGCAAAAATCGACGAAAAAAAAATTTTTTTTCAAAATTTTTCTCGCCACAAATTGAAAAAAAATTTCCCGGGTTAATTTTGAATCAAGTTTTTTGATCTACTTTTTTGGTGGGCAAAAAATTTCTGAAATTTTTTGAAAATTATTTTTTGAATTTTGAATTTCTAAAAATTTTCGATTTTTCCGGTTTTTGAATATCATTTTTATTTCAATTTTGCTAAATGAGCCGGAGAGCCGAGATATTTGTGCTCAAAAATCAAGCGATAAACCATGTGAATCTCGCTTCTGACTTTTTGATTAGCAGCTTCTCCTCCCTTTTTCCTCCCTCGAACACCTCACTTTTATCCGCCAACGACCACTGCCTCGCAGTGTCGTCCCGTGGCCGAGTGGTGTGTGCGCTTGGCTGGGAATTTGCTTTTGCGGGTTCGAATCCTCCTCGTTCAAACTTTTTGTTTTCGTGTTATTTGATCATTTTATCATTTTTTAATACTTTTAATCATGCCTTTTAGCTTCCTGTACCCGTTGGAAACCACCCTGACGTTTTCACATATTTTCTATTTTCTAAATTTTGGGGTTCTTTCTAGAGACCCGTTTTGATCTACTCTGGCGCCAAGTATGACACTATTGGTTTTTTTCTTTTTTTTTCTCCTTTTTCTTCTTTTTTTTAATGAAATTTTCAAAAATTCTAGCGAGAGGAAAAATGTAGGAAATCACAAAAAGAATTTTAAAATGGAACTTTTCTATTTTTGTTTATTCAAATGCTCTATTTTCAACTTCTACATACACATTTTGGCATTTCTGGTCCCTTTTTACTAAATGGTGACGAGATCCGTTTTGATCTACTCTGGCGACAAGGATTTCGCTATTGATTTTTCTTCCTTTTTCTTCTTTTTTTCTCTTTTTCTTCTTTTTTAATGAAAAAAGCTTTTAAACAAATTTCAGGGTGATCAATTGATTGGTTCTGAGCAGGACCCTCCCTCCTCCGGCTTATCTAAGCGCTACAGGTGAGCCAATTTTTATCTTCAAGTAGACATTTTTTTAATTCTAGGTCATTCGCGTCCCTCGCTTCCTGATGAGGCGAAGGAACCATTCTGTCTCATCTCAAAGGACTGCAACCGCCGCTGCTCCGTGGATGAGCCACCATCTGTGCAGGATACAGACTCAAACGGTGAGTTAATTCTGCAGTACCGGATGAAAAAGGTTTTCATATTCTCAAGATTCACATCAAAAAGCAACTACCGTGAAACCTGAAATACCGTAAGCACTCTGATAGAAAGCAACCCAAACCATCAACTTTGAGCCTATTTATCTCAGTTCTTGTTAAAGATATCTAAATGGGTCACCTGACAAAATGCAAATCATTTTATCAAAATTATTTTGTCATCAGTTGACCATTTTTTATATAATTCACAGGAACTGAGATATATCAACTCAATCTTGGCTGTTCGGGTGGCCTTCGTAAGAGTTCTCGCAAAATCAGGGCCCGGCCCGGGCTCGTGTTTTTTCAATTTTTTCAATTTTTTGTGAAAAAATCTTTTTTTGGGACACTCTTATTTTGAAAATTTTTTTACTTGAAAGAAAAATGATCCATTTTCTTCTATTGACCCAAAAAAAATTTTTGAAACAACCGGAAAATTTTTTCTGAAAACCGGGGCCGAGGCGGGCCCTGAAAATTCTGAAAAATGAAAATGTGAATCATAATATCACCAAAATTCTATCAGTTAATAGTTAATTTTGATATCTTTTGAAGGATCCGAGATAAGTTGTATTAGGGTAAAAAGACAACTAACTTTTTTTTGACACCTCGAAATTACCTAAAAATCCCTTCTGGGAAACGAGATGACATACAAAGAAGAAGAAGACAGGCACCATTCCATTTATTGATTATTAGATCGATACCCAGTTCTCTACGTCTTTACTTTTTGGGCGGCACGTTTCTCCCAGTTGTCGATGCTCTCCGGGCTCTCTTCTTCTGATCCATTCTCTGAAAACAGAAAAGTCATTATAAGAAACTTGATATTATTTTAAATCCCATAAAATTTTCTCCAAAATACTATGAATTTAATTTTTCTAGCTAAATGTTGAACAAAGTTATGCTAGTTTATAATTTACATTGATGGTCGATGCACCATGTTCACAAGGATGATCACTTAAACTACATTAACTCAGCGAAATCTTAAAAACTACCGTATTTCATTTAATAGAAGCCCACCCGAACTGTCAACGTTGAGCTGATTTATCTCGGTTCCTATCGGAGATATCAAAAAGCGATCAACTGATGAAATGGTGGTGATATTATGATGAACATTTTATT